GTGCTGCCTGTCTGTTGACCTATTGAGCAGCGGCTCAATGTTCTGGATTTTCTGAACATGATGTATTGGGATGCATGCATGGGATCCACAGGGACCTCATAGATGCTGCGGAAAACGGGGGACACACAACAGGCCCGGTTAGTTGGGCACAGCTGTCAACAGGCTTCATGTGTCAAGTCGTAAAGATGGATGACAGAGATTTGCTCTATGTCCGAAAGTTGATGCATAATTTAGCCAAGATGCTGGGTAGCTCTTGTTCCACTGAGGGACTAGTTAACTGCCTATGAGCTGATGCTTTTTGCCGCCAGTGTATGATTTAACCTCACAGAGCACTTTATGCACCCCGCAAGAAAAGGTCATAGAGCAATCACTTAGATAGATTTACAGTTTCAGAAAAAAGGCTTTTGTTAACTGGAACTTTTTGAAAAATACTTTCTATACACTTTAATAATTCATACTCTAATACATTTTACAATGCAACCGTCATGGTGCCATTTTTAAAGTCAGGTAATACTAGCACAGAGATTTCCATTACTTTTAACCTACAGTGACACTTGATGACATGAAAATGCACAACAAGAATGAAACTGTTACACTCATCTAGAGACAAAATGTCAGAGAATTTTACCCTGCTGCTTTGATTTTACACTATTTATGTCACTCGTGAGTTCACTTACACTTATTAAACCATTTCACATGATTAAGTTTATCATCTGTTGAAGCGTAATGTCGTTCTAACCACACCACTGTCACAATGATATGTTGGTTAGTACCATCGCCTAAACCAGGGTTCCCCATTGGAGTCCCCGAAGGTTAACTGGGACCTTTCTGTGTGGACTTTGCATATTCACCCTTTGTCTGCATGGGTTCTGCCCGGGTATTTTGGCTTCCTCCCTTCATCCAAAAGCATGCTTCCTAGATCCTTTGGACACTCCCAATTGCCCATTTAAGTGAATGTGAGTGTGTGTGGATGTTTGTCTTTCTGTGGCTTTGTGATGGACAGACGAGCTGTGCAGGGTGTACCCTGCCTCATGCCCGTGTCAGCTACGATACGCTCCATATAAACAAGAGACAGAGCTCCTAATCCCCTGATAGTAATTAAGGTTCTTGAAAAACACAGAAAAAGTCAATTGTCTAAGGTTTATTGTAGTAGTATTTTAGTATTAAAGTAGTATGCTAAACCAAAAATCGGCACAATGTACAGACACAACAGAAATATCTGAAGGAGTAGGAGTAATTTCACAGATACAATGACGTTTAATTGAATATAAACTTTGTATAACACCACTGAAAAGAAAACTGGAACGCTTTTCTGGAAGGCAGAATGCCACAGACCATGGTGTGGGTGCTACAGATCCCTGTATGTGCAGCAACTGCCCCTACCAGCAGAATCTGTATTACTTTCAATGATCAACAGTTAAATCTACCTCTTGATCTAGACTGAGACAATAAAACTTCCCTTCCCATACTCTGTCATAATGTTTGAGTGTGTTTTGGCTTAGTAAACCTCTCTAATACGGCTTAATAACCATGATGTCATCCACCAGATTTTTCAGTTCAGCTTTTTCGCATGGAAGATGGGTGGGACTATTTTGGATAATTGTCTTTTATCTGATCTGGAAATCATGAGCTAAAACTCATTTAAAAAAAACTGAAATGTGAAAAATGTTCTATTCCAGTGTAATATGGGGAATTATCTCCTTTGGGGGGAATGGGAGAACAAGTGGTTTTCCACTCAATTTCTATAAAATTACTGTAAGAATGTCTACAACTTGTTGGGTTTGTGGACTAAGACACTTTCTTTAAAAGTCTAATTTGTCTTGGTTCATCCTAGCTGTCTTTTTTTGTGGTATGAAAGATCTCTCCAAATTGTTCAGCTTCACAGAAAGATTTTCATGTACAGCCAAGAAAGGAAATGGAACACAGAAAAAAATGGGCACCAGTCTTCTGCATCCCCTTTCCTTTTGTAATAGTAAGCAGGTGACATAAAAAGCTTGTTCTTGCCAATTAAGACATTTTCAGATGTTAAACTTATTTGTTTAACCTGAGCAGCCAGGTTAATGAAGTCTTGTACAATAGAAAAAGTATGCTGTCTCCATATATAAGGTCATTTTTTTTCAGTATCTTTCATTCTATCTGTGAAAACCCTAATTGAAACCTTTGATGTTGGTTGGTGGATGTAAGTCACAAAGAAAGTAATAATGACAAAACCAGGATGATGAATTGCTGCTGATGTAGTTGTCTGCTAGTCAAGCGCAAAATGTCACAAGGAAGCATTATACTGAGCAAATGCTTGTTTAGAGCAGTACAACAGGTCTGTTAACCTATTTGTGGTCCAGACTGACGCCTCTTTTTACTGTCAAAGCACATCGGGTTTCCCTAGAAGTAGCATGGTATAGCATTGATGGGAAGGCTGCTTTTTACTCAAACAATCATGAACGGAAAAAAATCCCTCCCTACTAATTTTTTAAAAAAAAATGATTGCATAAATTGGGATGGCATGTTGTAATGCGCTCTCGCACCCATTTTATTAGATGCATGACTAAATTTGCTTTGCTTTTACTCACCACTCCCACAACTAGTGGCAGCACCTATTCAAAAGATGTAGAACTGTATGCTGCTTGGGTAAAAACATCTAGCAAACGAACTATACTATACTGAAACAGGCTGCTACCAATATCCATCCATTATCTATCCATCCATTTTCGTAACCTCTTTTTCCCTGATGGGGCTGGGGGGGGGGGACTGGAGCCTATCCCAGCAGTCAATGGACGAGAGGTTGGTTACACACGAGGTACGCAATTTGGCATGTCCAGTCAACCTAACATGCAGGTTTTTGGACTGTGGGAGAAAGCCGGAGAACCCGAAGAGAATCCACACAGACACAGTGAGAACATGCAAACTCCACACAGAAAGGTCCTGGTTCCACCGGGGACTCGAACCCAGAACCCTCTTGCGGCGATGGTGCTAACCACCATTTATTTGAGAACAATTAAATGGAGAGCATTTTGTGTTTTCTGGCTTATGAATGTGTATACTGCATTTGGAGGAAAGGTTTGCGCTGTCAATGCACGTTGTGGTATGAAGATGGACAGAGAATTATTTTTGGAGTACTGGTACATGTGCATGATGTAATAAAGGAGTGTGACGCGTTGCATTCATTTGTCTTGTTGTCCCTCGATGTGAGTGTGTATGGATCTATGTGTGTGCTTACTTCCTTTGTAATGATAGCCCTTAGTCTTTCACCAGGCAACCAGGCTGCTCCTCTAAACCTCTGGTTTAGAGGAGTAGCCTGGAGAGAATACAGTCTGCAAAAAATGCCACATCTAATGTTTGAAAAGCCTGCAAAATTAATCCCAGGAAACAAACATATTCAGACTCTCCTCATGCCAAACAACCTCATTATCAAAACATGGAGGTTGTGCATAATACACGAATTCAGACTATTCACTTAATGGCAAAAAATGGAAACTTCCCTTTGAGGAGAGCACGTAAATTTGACGCAGTAGAATTATATCTCCCTCTAGAGGTTGATCAGAGGAACATCATCATCTTGTGCCGAATTTCCAGATACTCTCCGAGGTAAACAAAAGATGAAGAGGTATTCAGAACTTTGAAATTTAGAAATTATGTTCCATGGATTTACAATCCATAATAGTTAAATAAAAATGTGTTTTTGACACCTGTAATTTTCAGTTAATTGTTTTAATCACATCCTGGATAAAATGGCTATTACTATTGTTGCATTTATACTAATTAAAGTCCCCAACCAGAGACATTGGTAAATTGCAGATATATGACAGTATCAGAGTAGTCCAGGCTGCGTGCGTTAACATAGGCTCTGTGCACAGACATTATAATGCTGGGTATTACTGAAATTTTGGCTGATTGTAGCGGTTTTGATAATGTTGTCAATTTACTTGGCTTTCAGACAACTGGGAAAGTTTTTTTCCATCTTATTTCTACAAATCTGGATGTTTACTCTTTTAAAAAAAAAACTCTACGCGAGACCAGGATATTGTAACCTGTAAATGTTAAAACCAAATAAATTATCTGAGCGTAATCTTCTGTTGTAGCTGGTGACATCTGATTGAGGCCACACCATAAGATATCTTGATAGTGAAGTAAAAATTCACAAAGCAATTAGTGTCATATCACCAATTTAACTGAAAGATTTGCATGATAGACAGAGTTGCTTTTTTTAAATTCAGCATCAGATTTGAATGCTCACATTGTAGAAAATATTGTACAATCTGCTGTAGTGTAAAAACTGTAGTATGCCACTTCATGATTCATCAACTTATATGCAAAGTCAAAGAATGTTACATTTTTAATGGAAATCATCCCTCTTTCATTATTTCCTCCTTAGAAACGGGCTCTGTTGTGTAAACCTCAAATGCTTAGAAAGTCAAGCTTACTGAAAAATTAAATCATAGCAGACAAGTGATAGACCTATCAGCTTTTATGTGTTTTTGTCTTTCATACCAGCACTGACAAGGGATAATGAATGAACATGCTTGTTTTTGTCCCTTTGAACCAGTGGGCTTCAGTGCATAGATAACATACATTAACATACAGTACATTCTCGAATGTTCATTCGAATGTTCATTTTAATTGGTTTTCGTCATGGTATAAATTATGGAACAGATCACCTTTCTAAACCAGCATAAAGTGACGAGTCCCTGGTTGCTTAAGACTCTTAACTCCTCTTGCAAGTTTATACACATATGAAATTGTTGCTACATTGGACTAATGCATATATATAAAGAGTGACTTTTTATAAATAGTAATAATAACGGAACTAGTGTGTCTGAATATGAGGTATTCATGTAGGCAGCAAATTCCTGCAAAGGAATAGTTGTAGACATGCGGTCCAGGGTGGTCAAAGATTCTTCAGTGGGCAGGGTGTCCCTTTCAGGCCTTTCCTCCTGTCCACATCACTGGCTGACCCCACTATGACCGAGCAGTGAATACAGCAGGAGTCGTCAACCCTCTCATTCACTCTTTACTGTTTGTCCTTACCTAGAGCAGTAGAGAAAGAACAACTTAAAAGCTTAAAGCTATTCAGCAAGTAGATGAAGAAAATGGAATCCCAGTCAGTAAAAAACAAAACAAAAAAAACATTACAGTGTAGTGTAGCAACAGAGCATTGTTTGTTCACAAACTGGACACAAAAAAGTTACCTTGACAACATACAACACAAAAAAAGGTTTTGGTGTAAATAGCCTTTTTTTCCTTATTCTACTTGTTCAGCTTTAATCTAGAGAACTGCATGTGGAATGGCAACTCTTAGGACTTTATGACTTAAGTATTAAACTCTGATGACTCTCTACCAGCTGTTAAGCACATGGTCGTATCATTATGCGGTGGAGCAGTTTTACTGCAGGTATAACTATTCAACTAGGACATGTTTGGAAAGAGGTGGTCTCCCCTCCAGATTTCTTCAGCATAACAGCAAACTGCCAGCTGGACAGTTAAAACTAGGACATGACTAGGCTTTCAAATGAGATATTGACATCAAACGGCTGGCAAACCTTAAAGTTGGCTATCATTTATTCTTAAAAACATAAAAACTCAACTGTCCTAAGAAACCCAAAAAAATGTTCCTCCTTGACCTAAAATGCATTAATTAAAAGAACAGTTGAAACAAATGAAAACCCCATACTGTCACTACAGCCGACAAAGAAGCACACCTTGACCTTTTGTATGCGGTTACCTTTGTTGGGGACAAACTTGAGCGAGTGGCTGAAGATTCAAAACCGTGACTTTCCCTCCTCTGGACCATCATTCACAAATTCGTGGCCCAGTCCATTGCCGCACTTACCACACAGAACCTGTGAATTTAAAGCCCAAACACCCCCAGATGTTTTCCAATCCCCAAAACACTTCCAGCGATTTTGTTCCTATGCAATATCACTTTCTTAGATGGGACTCACTTTGTAGGCAGTGAGAGTCTCCATCAGCTTGGTGACACTGTCCTCTTTGATGGTGTCCGTGAAAGCTGGCCAGGGAGACGAGTGAGCAAACTTTGACCGACTGGAGAACAAAGGATGGTTACACTTGGCGCACACGTATATTCCTGCCGGGAAAATGTGGCATTTGTTACCTTCCTTTTTCTACTTGTCTGTATACTCTCCTGTTCAACAGCTGACAAATTAAAGAGAACAATGTGGTTGGTGAAAACAAATTACTTCTCCTGTAGCCACAACTAGAGCTTTTACAGAGGGTAAAATGAAAACACAACACTGAAATGGTTTCATACTTTATAAGTTAATACTAATAAGTTAATAAGTGGAAATGCATGTTATGCTGTAAACCTCTCATAATTTTCCCTCCCATTGTAATTATTCTTTATTAACATGAGGTGATTTTCATCAGAATGCCTAACAATAATTACAATACCTGTATCAGTTATAATTAACATTAACAATTGCAATTTTTTCTAAATCTGAATTTTATCCTTTAACAGAATCGTTCATTTTTACAGTGAAACTGAAACAGCCCCATTGCAAGGAAAGAAAAGTCAAGACCAAAAAGGTTGATTTAGTCCTCCCTAATCCCGCGGAAAAGACGTTACATCACATCAGTGTATACAGAACGGCAGACACAGGCAGCTCACCTGGTTTAAAATGATCCTTGAAGATCTCACTGCCGAGAAACTGACAAAAAGACATGATGGAGCCCGACATCGAAACGGGCCACAGCCAGGCGAGTGTTTCGGCAAACGGCGTTCACAAACAGCGTCCGTTTCTCCTCTCCTTAACGAGGTGTCACGCAAAATCCAGTACCCGTGAAAAAATCTGTTCCCCTGGTGTCGGGAGCGCGCATTACATCCGGCAGGCAAATACGACGCCCTGCGCGTCATTTATGATCAAGTCAGGAAAACGGCAATTTACCGTGCTAAAGATTATTTTATCTTTGGAACTGCGGTTGCTGCTGAAATATAGGTTTTTGGGCTGAAATAATCATATTCTTTTCAAGCTCCAATCGTTGTTATTGATTTTTTAAAATAACCTTATTTGAAAGAAGACAAAAAGCAAAAGTTTCGTGAAAATATCAGTTTTCTATGTTATTGTTGTAAATCACATTTCCAATGTTAATATAGCACATTGCTGGATAGATTTCAAGCTGCAAACTTGACTTTTAGTTTTCAATGTCAGTGATCTGTTTCTTAAAATGCTCTGCTTTTTCATAGGTATTGAATAAACTTAGCGCTTCGGCTCACCATGCACAGCCATTTTTGTAAGCCTTAAAGGTATTTGCTCCCTGAATACTTCAATCTAACTGGTCAAGTTTAGTGTTCTTCTGAAGTCACATGAAATCAGGAGAAAAAAACAACAACCCATAAACAAAACACAAGAGTTTATTTTCCCGAATAGTAGTGTATGCATGAATGGAACCAGCTGATACAGAAAACAGCAACTTTTGTGTGTTCAGTTTTCTTTTTTCTGAGCAGCCTGGGGAGGGATGAAAATCTCTCCCAGATTGTGGAGTAGCCCTCGGCTGTAGTAGCATCTTTTTGAGTGATCAAGGACGGGGTTGCAGAGGTGATCGGTCGTTGCAGTTGGGTGGCAGTTCTGGCAAACGTAACCTCTGCTTTTGTACCACTCGTTTGAAGTCTGGTTGATGAGAGCCAGGTAGGAATGAAATAGGGCATAAGCAGCCAGGAGAAAGAAGATGAAGATTACAAAGCCCAGCATGAAAACGATCCGGGGAAATGTCAGAAACAGATGCTGGAAGGATGGACAGAGGGCAAATTTGAAATAATCTGTTTTTGTAAGATGATATAAATATAGAATATGCATATAAGATTTTGAATGTCAACAGTACCTGTACAATAAAGAGAGGTCCAGTCGGCTGCTGCTGGCCATACTCATCAATATAACTGGCTCTTAAGAGCCCTGAGCGGAGCACAGCATGAAGCAGCATGTCTCCAGTGAGCAGGGCGATGTCACCTGCCATAGCACACACGCTGAAGAGGTAAAGCAGGAAAACACGCGTGTTCTGAGCACCAATGCAGTTGTTAACCCAGATGCAGTGGTGATCAAAACGCTGGACGCACATGTTGCAGACCCCTGAAATTCAGACAGCATTCACAATCAGCACTAGAAAAACATGATTTCTGTTTTTTTACTTGCTTTGTAACATGCAAACTCAAAGAGAATGAAAGGGTTTGAAGTTATAATAAACCTTCATTCATTTCCAACAAAAAATATAAGGAAGGCAAATAAGGCAGATCAAGTAGCAAATAATGATGAACATTTCATTAGAGCATCCAAACTTTATAAAATTGGGGCTGCCTTTGAATTCTAAAATGTTCTAAAAAGCTCTGCCAGTTGTTGTACTTGAACACTTTCTTACGTAGGCCATTTCTGTAGTGGAAAGAAATGTGACACTTAAAGCAATGGGGGCACAAGCACTAATAATGTCCTGAAGCCACATAGCAGCACTCACGGCAGTGTTTGGAACGAGCTGGTTTTACAAACTGGCAAGTTGGACAGGAAACTCCAGGGTGAAACAGCCTCCTGTCGTATGTGTAGAGTTGTACCTGTCCAGAGACATTACTCTTTGTCACTGTCCCTGAAAAGACAGTGAATTGAGAGGTTAGAGTTGAGAAAATATGACATCCCATAACTCCATAGCATTTGTTCTATTTAAAGAACTTACACAAACAAAAGAAAATTATGTTTTAATTTCATCTTTAATTTTACAGACTGACCCTGCCTTAACAAGCAGCTGATACTATAATGAAATTAACCTGGATCTGTCTTTATGCAGAGGTAGAAGAACAACGTTTTGATCACCAGCAACACGTAAGGCATGGAAAGGTTGATAAGAGTGGTGTCCATCTCCCTACAGAAGCCAAACACCTCATAGGAGAACTCTGCATACACAGCAACCTCTAATAGGATATGGAGGTAGATGAACATGTTGTTCCTGCAATTAAAACAACTCCAATGAAATTAATCAACGAGAGGGGCAAATTCACATTTTTGTGTTGATAGTTTTTTCCACTACAAACCTTTGATGAAACAATCTGTGCATGAACCATTGGGATAAGTTTTTGAGCCACTCTGGTGTAAACGGTGCGACTACCTGGGAGGAAGAAAAACTATCATTGCGACGAATACTGCGCTACTTTGGCATGAGGGAGTACAGTGAACGTGTCTTACCTTTGTTACACGGTTCAGCAGTGCATTAAAGGGGCTTTGCTGCTGGCCTGAGTATTTACAGACTAGAAATATACAGGTGAGCACCACGGCGACGTAGATGGAAAAAAGAACAAGGAAATCCATGTCTCACCTAAGTGTCACAGGGAGACGATCAACAGGTGTTTAATGCTATTTCAACTCGCACAGTTCGCAAACTTAAGGAGAAAGTACAGTTTTTTCCTCTAAGTTATGAAATACTCTTTTTGTTTGAATAAGTAGACTCTCAAACGTCATTCTATTTCTGTTGTTTTTTAAAAGCACCCGTGACAAAACTAGTTTCTTAACATGCTAATCTTAAACCTATGCAGCCATTGTATTACAGTTTTGTTTTTACACTTTCTGACGGAAATTGTGAGTTTTATTCCCCTCTTACCTTTACCAAAATTATATTCGACTACCTTTCTGATCTATTTTCACGTCAACATTGTTGTCTTGGTTTTAGCTGTGTTTAACAGCTTCATTTTCGGTCCATTCTCATCTTCATTTGCATCTTTAAGATCAAGCAACTTCCTTAGCATTGATTTAGCTTCATGCTAGCAGGAGCGAGGCTATACGGTGTGCTGTAGGGCCAAACTTTGAGAAACGAATGGAAGGAGGCCGCTGCGATAAGAATAGTCACAGTTAAAATGAAAATTCTGTTTGCTGTAAATGTTAAAACGAAAATATTAATTAATATTAATTTGTTTTATGATTTTTTTGTTTTAGTTGTACTACCCACTTTATCCCCAAAAACCGAAAGTACCGGTAAATAAAATAGAACAAATATCAGGATGCAAGCCCAACATACTGACTGAAATGTTTACATTAATAAATGTTCTTACTATCATGTAACCATTTTGTGAGAAATGCATGTATATTTTATTAACTTAGTAGACTATATGCCTAGAAAAAATCTGAGGTAGTTCAAAACCTATATCTTTTTCACCTTGAATGAAGCCTTCATTAGGAACCCATCTGAGAGAAGACTCATCTAGGTTCTCGTTTACTGATAAGCTAAATTATTTATTTTCCTTTTATTCTATAGGATTCACCGTCATTAATTTCCAAATAAACTCAAGTTTTGATCCATCAGTACAAAGGGCATATTTCGATTTTACCCAGTGCATTCATGTGTAACATTTCTTCATATGGCAGGGCTTCAATTTGCATCTAGTGATGCAGCAACAAATCATGTTCACTGAGAATGGTTTTCAAATGTGATCATAGACTTATTTAGGGATTTATGTTACAGTTTTTTGTTTTTACTGCTGCACTGACTGAGAGCACAATGATAAGAGTCTAATAGAATTGATTTTAGTTTTGCCCTTTGAATACAGATATTTCTTCTGATAATATTCTTACCCACAGATGATAAAATTTAAACGTACTTTGTCCATTGTCTTTCATCTAAAATAAACTTTTCTGGTAAATTCTAGTTATTCCTACTCATCTTAGAAAACAAATGACTCAAGCAAACTAATTTTGTTGCAAAACATTTTTTTTTTTATTGTGAATGCATTCAAGAGTTCATTCCATGTTTAATTAATGAAGGCTGAATGCTCTTAAACCACCCTGTAGGTCCAAGAGAAAACTCATTCAACCACTTGTAAAATTCTGATACAGGTGTCTAAATGAAAAACTAACTGAAGGGTCGGTACTGCTTTCTGTCTGTCTGCCACCCCGTGCCCCACATAATGCAACAAGCATCACAAGATACCTGTTGGATCTGGTTGCCGACATGGGTGAGCTCTCGTGTTACAGCCCTCAGTGCTGAAGCAGGGAGCATCACTCAGGAGGAGCTGTGCGTACACATTGACGGATGCTGTTTGAAAAGGTACAGGATGTGTGGGTGGGTTGCACTGATGTGTTCAAAATGATTAAACTTTAGCGTGTTTTGCATCACTTTGCTGTGAGCGTTTGGGTTAGACAAGATTGAGTTGGTTATGGAAGTTTGCTCGTCATCTTAGTTCACTGTTTTTACATGCTGTAGCAACTGAATGAGCTGTTAAGTTTTGAGAGTAAAAAAAGTCGTGGACTGAAGTGAATAACATGTGTTTGGAGGAACGGACAGTTATGTTAAATTATTCAGTGTTTACTAGACTTGAAAGCAATAGCTGTTCATCAACCCACTTGAAAGCTTACTTTACTCTGACTTATGTCAACACACTTTCCTACTATATAGAAGTTCTCAACAACATTTGATCATATTGTAGAATAACATATGTTATTATTATTGTAGAATAACATATATGTTTGGTAGAACAACATATGTACTTATTTGTAGAATAACATATGTTATTCTACAATAGGGTCAAATGCTTTATTCTCATCTGTACTTGAGAGTAATTTATTGTAGCTTCTGTTTTAAGGAAACTCTATCCTGTGATTTTTTTTAAGCCATTCAGTAAAAGTCTTCATAGGAACTGCTTTTTTCGTAGAGCTTTTTTTAAATTGAACTTCTCTTCAGGTGTTGTTATAAAATAACATTCAAACATTTTTTGCCTTGTCATATACACGTATTTGGAACAAATTCAGTCCAAATTCAACAGCTTTGTTAGTTCAAAACCAGTTTCTTTCTGACCTTGAATGGTGCCTTCATGTTAGTTCTTGTGCACTGATAACCTGAAGGATTTAGCTTCCCTTTATTCCAGAGGATTCGCCATAATTTATTTCCAAACAATTTCAGGTTTTGATCCATGACTATAGATCTTTTATGTGATCAGTATCACATAGATCCCAAAATATATTATAGTTCAGTCAGTTGTGATGCTGTGCCAGGACGACCCAGAAATTGTAGCTAGCAGATTGAATGCTGCACTTCCACAGAGTTGTTTCTTCTTGTTCTGAATGATTAACTAGACTTCTTTCTGGCTCGGGTTGATTCTTTTTTTTACTTTACTTAGCTAAACATGTAGCTAGGCAGGAATGTCTAATTATCTGGAATAAATTAAAACAAATGTAATGGACATACTTATATGCTTGCATGTTTTTATTTACAGAGGGGCCACTCCATCGGCCATTGTTTTGTTTGCATGTAATTGCTTGTTTGCTGATCCCGCAGTAAAGGAATTTAAATGTTTTTAGCACTTGCATTGATGAAAATTAAGAACACCATGTTTCTTTGTAATCTTATCGCAAATAATACCCGCAATGTAGGTTGTACAGTAGCCTTTAAGACCTTCTTGTAAAGATACGTTTAAGCTGCAAGATCCCATACTATTTCCTCTGGCTTACTGCTAACTTTGCTTTCTCATTTTGTCACTACAGGTGACTAACTTCACATTACACATTGTTTTCTCTGTTCTTTAATTATATAGGAATATTGCTATATAAACAAAAGTAAATTTGAATTGCTAAGGTTGAAAAATATTTATATATTATATATTATAATAACTGTCTCCTCAGTCACTTGTTTAAAATCTAAATTACATCAACCAAATCGTCAAATTGATTTTGATATCCACTGAGGGCTTAACAGATTAGTCCTTTCCCATCATTATTATTGTAATAGTGCTTAATTTTACTTGACGGTAAACGGATGGTCGTGTTGCAAGTGACTTGTTATAGTTTCTGTATAGACTAGAACCTTTTTACAAGTTTTTGCCTATTTTGTGTTGTCGGACTACATTCTAAACATGATGTCACAAGGTAATACCAGAGCTCTCATGGTATGGCAAGGCTCCACCACAGTCACTTAACATTTTCATTAATGGAGGGGAGCATGTGTTCCCTCTGCAATAATGACAGGGGGAGGAGATCTAAAGATTCAGCTGCTAATCCTGCTAATCCTGCAAGCTGAAGTCTTAATTTGCCCCTGTACCCTCTCAGTAGGCCGAGCATTTGAATGCACTTCCACACTTGGACACGCAGAATTCCAGGCTAGCAGTTGCTCCAATTAGTACTCATCAGGCTTTCTTACATCGACGCAGAGTGATTCTGGGCCAGGAGCAGGCCCTCGGAGAGCCACCTAGCCAAGAGAGGAGGAGGAGAAAAAAGGCAATGTGGTGTATTTATAGAAAAATGAGGCCTCACAATACCCTTTTTGGAGACAGAATTATTAAGGAACTGAGGTGCGCGGGTGCACGCGTCCCAGTTTTCTGATTAGCAGTGTGCAAGCAGGCTAGCCCAAGGATGAATCAGGGATGAGACACAGGACTAACTCCTTGACACACTCACAGAGAGACTGCACTTGCTTTTTCATGCACACTCACCCTTTTTGCTCATGAGGAAGCTGCTGTGATTTCAAGGTGGAGGAATGGGGCAAGATTTTAAGACTGTCGCCTATTCTGTTTGACTTGGGGGGGGTCAGTGGGAGTTTTTCTTTTTCTTTATTGTGCTTGAGAGGACAGAGGGGATAACAGCCTGCTAGCAGGCCACCTGCTATTTGAAGATGAAGAAGTTTTTGCAGAACAAAAAAGGCAGATACTCTTTTCGGCAGAGCAAACGGGGCCCACGGTGTCCATCTAAAGATTTCTGTAAGTCTTTGATCAGCATCATCCATCGTGTAAAACCTACTGTGGCTGTGGAAATGTATAATTCATCTACAGCTGAGTTAGAAGGGATATAGCAGATTACATCCAGCCCACAGAAGCATCAACATACATTTGTCATGGCATTAACACTGGCCTACTTTAATGTTTTTTGGTCCAATTTGCCCAAGAACTGACTTTTTTGTTGCCTTAAATTTTAACCTTCAATTAGATCCATCATTGCACTTAGTTCTGTGCTCCTTTTCTTGATTGTGTGACACACGGGATGTGTGATTATTAAAAATGAAGAAAAAAAGTTTGCCTTTCCAGCTAATTAAGGTCACAATCTCTGCAATGCCTTTATTTGATTGGCTGAGAGTTTATGAACCAGGTCAGGGACCACTGAGCATGTCATGGTTCAGTGTAGAGGGTTACAGAGCTGAGCTTGTACAACTAGAGACACAAGATGTAGCGGGAGCAAGGACGCAGGGGAAGACTGCATCAAATGAATACTTTTATGTATACATGTGTAACGAGAGGGCTTTTTACAATGGAGCTAGACTTGAATGTATGGGCTACGAGGGGTAAGTGTTCATTCTTATATATTGGTGTCACAGAGAGATGACTTTGAATGAGATAGAAAGTTCTTGAACAACACTCCTAACTTGACAATATCCATCTTCCTCCATCTAGTCCTCAGCATGCCGACATCCAACCAGGGCTGGCCAGAGGATTTTGGCTTCCAGCTGGGTGGGAATGGACCAAGTTACATATTGTCTGTGGAGGAAGGCAGCAGCGCTCACCTGGCAGGGTTACAGGCGGGGGACCAGGTCCTGGAGATCGAGGGCCACAATGTGTCGACACTGGCTCCACAAGCTGTCATTGCCATCGCCCAGACTCAGAAAAACATCCCTCCCAGCATTGGAGTGGTGTCCCGCGTACAGCAGGTTTTACACCTTATGCATCCATCACAACGTTTTAACTGAGGCAATTGTTTTATTTGTTTTTGTTTTTCTGTCTTATGCAGATGGATATCATCCCAGGTCCAGATGGTCGTTTTGGGTTCACTATTGTAGGAGACTGCCCTCTGCTGGTTGAGGATTGCTCACCATGCTCTCCAGCCGGACGTGCAGGTCTGAGGGCCGGGGATTATGTAATGGAAGTGAATGGTATCCCGGTCAGGCATCATGAGATGGCCGCATCCTTGATCAAAGCCTCCCAGGGGAGGACGCTCCGCCTGGGGGTGCTAGGTCTCGGTCTGAGGCAGAAACGCAACATCAGCACAGTGGACAATCAGATGGGAGGAGATGGGGTGAGACTGGATCGCAAGCACAAGGCTCTGGAGTTTAACAGCAAGGTACATTTACACTTTCCTCCTGCTATGATCTCTGCTCAGCAGAAATTCAGGTATACTTGACATTCTTTTTGTCAGGAGGCGCATGACTGATTTAGACATTTTTATTTATCTATTCCCTTCCCAAACTAGTTGTAAGTTGATCTGGAGAAATTTTACTGTGGTTGCCGCAGTTTGTGAACTTATAGGTATGCTCTGTGTTTTTCCGCATGAATCTTATCTGAAGCAATATTCTTTCCAAGCCTTTTCCTTAATGCGAGATCAGGACTTTGATTCGGTACATTCATGACATGAACCCTGGAAAGGGTTACAGTACCCCTAGATTTCGATGTGATTGTTAACTGATGGAGTCCAAATTGATAGCTTTAATGAGCTCAGAAGCAACTTTTAGTTTCAAACAGAGATTCTTTTCCACAATGATGTTGTGGGGATTAGGGTTAACTCGATCCCTGTTTTTATACCCAAATATTTTTCACACAATACTTACACTTGATATCTTCAACCTAATTTTGCCTTAAAAGGAACTGCTAATCCTCCAGATGAATTTTTCTCTACAATTAACCAGAATCTAGAATGCGATTTTTGGTCATTTGTCTTTAGTGGGCTTTCTTTACTTGATGACTTTTGTAAAAACCTGGGGATATATTTCCTAATTTTCATGCAGAAATAAGGAAAACTAAACTGTTCGCAACCCATCCAGCATCACCGCCCCTTATGCTGACAACCGAGGATGCAGATTTTCCGAAATTAGTCAACAGTAACAAAGTCCTGATTATGTGAAGTAGCTATACCGTGCCCTGGACTTGACATTCTCCTCCAGCGTGTTTATTAGTTAAATAGGACTACTCAAGGAACTATTGGGCAAAGTTTGTGGAACATCCTGGTCCATTAGGTTATAAAAGATCTAGAGTAATTTTCCATGTTATCCTTAAACTGCTCCATATCCCTAATGTCAGTTGTCTCCATCAGGTGGACCAAATCTTAGGTGATGAGCCCGAAGTCAAAGAGAAACTCTTTGCTGTGCTGAAGCAGTACGCTGCAGAAAAGAGGGTAGAGTGGTTGGCGTCCGTGCTGCCTGAGATACTCACCACCCAAGAACATCGACAGCTCATCTCCAGCATCAGGTAGAAGCCAAAAGTTTGAAATCTGAAGCCACAACCCACATAAGTTGGATAAAAGAGGCCCCACCCTCACTTTAGATGGGGCTCATCTGTCATAGTAAAGCTCCAAGTCACATAAAGCTTCCTCAGCTGGCTGGGAGGGACACCCACTTAAAGGGTTTTAGCAAGGAAAATGGCAACTGGCAACAACAATGTGAGCTGCATTCAACATTTACAGCATGGAGTTGTCTGTGATGAGGAGCCACAGGCAAATTCAGCTGAGCACAGGCTTCATGGGAAACACCATCCAAAAACGGTGGTCAGTGTTCATTTGCTGACCCTTCAAAGTGATTAACTAAATTAATGAATTAATAAACTAAATCTGAATCTACATCCAGCATTTTTTGGGGGGCGGGGGGATTGTAGGTGTTTGACAGAATCCACCCATGAGGCAGAATCATGCCAAATGGCATCAACAATGATTCTGGTAGCCAAAATTATTATTGGGTAATTATGTGCCAAAATGATCAGCAGTTCGGTTTTTCTCTGAATCCCCAGAAGATTTGTCCACAGATTGCACTTCTGAGCCAACCAAGCTTTCCTTTGCTGTGTCTCCTCTTCCACCACCACCACTACAACTACTACCACAACTATTTCAACACTGCTTCCAACTCTTGTTAGGTCTATCTATATCCTGGAAGTAGGTTTTCCATTAATATATTTGAAATATATTTTAGTTGGTTCTTAAAATGATGTGAGCAAATTAACAGGTCGGTACTCATCTCTTCATCAGTTCCTTTGCAGTGTAGATTTCTTTTATCCACGCAAGCATGAATAACAACACTGGGGCTATCTCTATGTGGTCTCTAGCAACCCCCCCCCTCTCTCTCTTAGGGAGAGTGTGTTGTTAATCATCTGCACTCAGATGCATTTTTTCACATTTTCCTGCATAGAGCACAGGATGCTTAGTGAACACTTTGCTTTACATTTCACGCATTTTAAAGACTGAACTCAATTTGTCTCAAATTTACCTAAGAGGATTATTTGTTCCCTATTAGATGTAGATGGTGCATGTTGTGTCTCTGTTTAGTTCATTGGTCAGCAAAGGGTGACATCTAAGGGGATGAATTGTCTTGGGTAAGTATATCTTCCCAGCCTTCCTATTACTTTTTTTTCAATGAGTAAAAAATGCTCTCCTTGTTGGATTTTTATTTTTTGTAACATTTCAAAATTCTCTTGGGCTCCTTTAAGCTTGTTTTATGAAGAAATGGTGGAGGTGTAGTTATGGGAGGTGAGGGAATTATGAGGTTCAGCATGCAGCGTCTTTCTGTTCTCGTTGTTTTCCATGTTACTTCTAGCTGATCCAATTTTGCCCGTGCGCAGCAACTTTGAGCAGTTTGAATCGATGTGAAAGCTTTGAGGGAGATGGAAACTGCTGGATGAAATATGCACAGTACCTCTGTGCTTGCTTTGAAGGTTAAAATGAACTTTAAGTGAGACTACAGTCAGTCACTGTGCTGGTAATGTGTTTCAGTGTGTTCTTTGAGATTTCTAGTGTGGATATACTCACCCAGAAATGCTGAAATAAATTAGCAGATCTTCTCCATCATTCTTCTGTATCTTGACTGCACTCTGCCACAATATTTGCCACAGGATTTCACAAATGCATATCTGGACACGTTTTTTTTAGCGCAAGGGGCAAAAGTAAGTAAAAATAAGCGTATCATTTATCAGCTAAACCTGATTATGTTTGGTTTTATCCATTTTAAGACTCTGCATCCACCAGCCCCTCACGCTTTATGGCCTTCGCAACGCTTTTGTTTTTAGTTTTATTTTTCTTGATAGAGATGGTGTTTCATTTTGGCTGCAGGGGTTAGATCTGAAGCAATGCATACGACAGGATGAGGCGTAAGTCCTCATTTCCCTCAAGTCCTCGTTTGTTTTTTGAAATATGTATGGGTGTGTATTTCCTTGCATGATGCACCAGTGTCCACTTCAGTGGCCTATGTGCATTTAAAACATAAAAACTATATATACACGAGAAAATGGCTTTTAAATAGCTTTTAAATGAAAGTGTCAAAAGAGCTTCTGTTTTTAGTTCAAAGTAGTCGCCCTGATTCAAATTCATCTCACAGTTCCGTTTTATATTGAAATCTCTAGATTAATTGGATGATGAAGATGCAAGGGTTAATTGAAGATGTAATCATCTTTGTGAATCTTTTTTAACCAAAGTTGTTAAAATAATTGTCCCATAAAGACCAGGAGCCATTTTTAAGACATTTCAAACGGCAGAGGACAGACATATAATGAACTGAAAAATTAAAAGCACATTAGCCCTTCACTTTAGGGAGTTGATACTATTCTGTATCCATTATATGTTTGTGAACCGTGACAACCCTGGCTCCAAATGCTGGACTTGTCCACTTGCAGGTTTTTATTCCAGTATCAAACTGTAAGCCTGTACCATCTTGTTGCTTCGGGAGCTCTTAGACAATTTGAGGCGAACGCATACGGTCATCATCTGTACAATCCTACTTATTTCTGACTAGCCAGGATCAAGGTTGGCTTTCCTTTGCCGCTGTCCCTAAAAATAAATCATAAACCAAATCTGGTGTAGTGGAAATACACTCTGTATTGAATATGAAGCCAAATAAGGGTTCAACTGACAGTCTTTAGTTATACACAAAGATTTTATTTGGTGTGATGAAATGTTTGATTACTAGCATACATTTTATATCGTAGTTTGCTTATGTCTTCTTAACCTACTCTTCTGAATGTTTCCAAGTAGAGCAGATTGCATCACCCACATTAGAGCCACATCTGGACACTTGAAATTAAATTAGGTCTGCTTTTTGTAGTTTTTTGCTTGTCATTTATCCCTTTTGAGAAATGTGCCCCTTCCTCCCAGCTTGCTTCCCTCCAAAAGCCTTCTTCAGACAATTATAGATATGTTCTTTACAAATGAGGTCAAATCAGAGCTCTCAATTAGCTCCCGAGGGTTGTTTCATGAAACTTTATGTGATGATACGGCTGTTTCAACAAATGCGTGTCCTTTTGTTAGCAGGTGAGCATCTGCATTGAGAGAAGGGAACCAACACAAACACTCACACACTCTTCCTCACACATTCAGGTGCTAAATCTAGATGCGAGACAGGGTGTTCTGATACGAATAAATGCCAAACAGCCAGGAACGCACAGATAGCAAACACAGTGGGAACTGTGTGGGCTGCAACACTTACGACTAGTATTGAGGCATGCTTATTGCAGCCAGCAGTCCGTGCTCATCCAATGCTGTCTCAGGCTGCACACATGTGCACTTCAAAAGCGATCCAAATCTGCGCTGTCAGTGACAGCAGGCTAATAATACTCGGCCTATATATTCAACTAACACGTTTGTTCCCAAAAAAGTACAGCTCCTGTAAAGCAAATGATGGAGGGAAAAAAATGGAAAAAGTGCTGAATTGTCTTTGGTATTGCAGGCCACTTCAAGACACATCATATTAAATACAGTGTGTATACATTGCGTTGTTTGCAGTGACATTTTCAGACTCTGCAGCTGGGATACCAGTAAGAGACACCCTTTTCTTAAACCGCAGTTGCACAGGAGGAGAGGTAAAAAGAGAGTTTCCGACATCAGCCAACCACACCTACAGGTGATGGATTGGTAAAAAAAATAAATAAATAGAAAAATTAAACAAGGGGAAAAAAATGGTTGTGCTATAACAAACAGACTACGTCAAAGCAGATATCTTCATGTATCACGTATTTTAGGTTTAATTTGCTTTGCTTTATCACAGTATTCTTTTTTTTATTTTTTTTTACAGTTTTAAGGTGGAGATGTGTTTAATTGTGTGATTGTGTGTATTTCCACATTTAGATTTTGCCACCAGGGGAAGACCATTTTGCACAGTACAGACTTGTTTGATCAAATCACTTCATTAAATGGCTTGACATCTCATAAGAGCACAATTTATCAAAATGTTGTCATTCAAAATAATTCTATGCCGATTGGATGATGGCATTTCATATCTGTAGACCTTTTTATGTGTACTCATTTAACATGATATAATGAATGATGGATGAAAGTCACCTTGACTGGGCAGTCGCTTCTATCTTAATTTGTAATGTGTGTTCTACTGGCTTTATTTAGCAGCAAAATTGTTGACGTTACATAATTGGCGTAACGTAGTGGCCACTGTGTGTGGAGGGGGGGCAATTACTGGACCAGTGCCTGTGTTTCATCAAACCTCATGTTCTGTATGCTAATCACTGATTCATCTGACCAGCAGTAAAACAACTAGTCAAAACATAGCAGACTGGTGTAGGTGGGAATGCTTGTTTGTCTAGATCTGTGAGAAATGTGATTCAGCAAAGAGGTAATCCAATTATTTTTGCCTTCTGGCTCACTTCAATTGTCAGTGGTGCTTTTTATTTTGTTGCAATTCAACTGATCGGTATGAATTCTCGAAAAAAGATCCAGTGTTAACACGTTCAACGTGATTAGTTTGGATTGGAGTAGTTTCCTCAATTTTTTTACCTATCCTGAACTAACAGTGCACCTATAAGTTAAGGTAGGTGCAAAACAAAGTATGGGGGCGGTAGAGTGTACATATTATGACAAGTGACAGGCATGCCTGCTTGCAGCGGTTTTTATTGCTTAACTGTTTGGTGTGCATGCCTTTTTTTTTTACCTCTGGGATTTTTTTTTAGCTCTGCATCACATTTTGCTTGACCATCAGCACATGAGGCTGAAACAACCAAAAGAGTTGAGCATTAGGATTCTTTGTCAAAATGGGTGAAGTAGGCGATGAGCACTTCCTGTTCCGTGTTTGTTTGGTCACACAGAGGTGAGCTGTGGACGGAAGTGTGGGAGCGCTTGAGAATCGGTTGTTGTGGATGGAGAGGGAGTGAGAGAGAGAGGAGAGGAGAAATCCCATGCCTTCTCACTCCCACACCTTTTTTTCTTGCTGTATTCTGGCTCTGGTACCTCACGCTGCAGCATTCAGACTCTACCAGGCTCTGGATGACGCCACAAACTCCCCAGCATCTTTACCTCTAGCTTGTAATTCAGCTTCTTTTCTTCTCTTAGGAGAGAATAGTTCAAGTCTGGAAGATTTCACCCACCTATTTGTTTAATTTCCTTGGCTCTGACACAGGAAAGGGGAAGCCTGTTGCCTGTTGGGTTGAATCAGTGCTGACTTGGACAGAGGACAGTTTTTGACTCAATCTCTTCTCTAGCTGGCTGTTATTTTTACTTCAACCCCTGTATTTTTTGTTTTTTTTTAAAGGATCGAGGTGGCTCTATGATGTAGATTTATTCTCTTTGATTTTTTTTCCTTTCCTTTCAAATAAACCACTGCAAGCAAATCATTCTTTTTTAAAACCTGATTTATCTCTGACACATGCCACCATGTTTGCCAGAATCTTCGTCCCTAAGAAGCATCGGCAGCGCTTTGACGAAGCTGTCTCCCAGAATGTGATCAACCGGCTCTGCCGCAGCAAGAGCATCAGCGAGCCGCAGGGGAGAATCCGGCGCAGTCGGAGCGAGGACCACTCTGAACGCCGCCATGGATCCAAACGGGCAAGCTCTGTGCCAAGGGATGGAGGAGAACCAGGTGGGAAAGGTGAGGCTGAGAAAGACAGGGGGTTGAGGAAGTCTGTCTCTGGGATACCTGCACAACCCCCCATCGGACCAAATCAGAGGTGAGCACCAATTAGTGCGATGTTTTCGGAAACTGATTGGTTGTATTTAAAGGGAATTCAGGCTGCCAAAAAGTTTGTCTCAACACATTCTAAAAGTGCCAAGAAGCTGCTAGTTGTTCCGTGGGCACTCTTCTTCTTTTGACTAATTCCCTCTGTAATATTGTCTCTTTTATCCCCAAAATAGTCTTGGTTCCATCACTCGGATCGTATTCAGCCTACTTATCACATCTATAGTTCCTTAGAAATAAATCTACCAAGATTTTGTGTGTTTGCGTGCATCCCTACAGAGCATTTCACTTCTTCCTGTCACCATCCGCCTACCCAATCGCTGATTACACAGCTGTCCAATCAACAACACCATGATGGATTTCATGAAGACTTTCAAGAGTGGCTGTGATCTCCCACATAAGCCAGCTGACTAAATCTGAACATAGTGTATTTCTTCATGTGTTAAAGACTGTCACAGGGGCCGGGCACAGAACAGTGGGAGACGAGCTGACTATGTTAATTTGTGCTGCAAGCTGGTGCCTCTCCCGAAGTAAAAAAATCCAGGATATTGTGTAACGCTGTTGAGTCTTAGTAGTTTCTAGAAGAACAGACCAATAAATAGAGAGATATACAACAGCAGATAAATATCAGGGAGATAGAAACAGATGCTGATAGGAGAAAAAGGGGAGAGGGATTCAAAAATGGAAACTGAGCACAATATGCTGATATTCCAGTGGATTATCTACAAATTATCACTTATTGAGGAGATTTGATTTGAAGGTGAACATGAGAAGTACAGTCGTGAAAGGTCTGGCTGTTTTTTAAGTGCAATAAGGGCAGATTGTGTGCCTCCTCACACCCGCTCACATAACAAACTACCGGCCCGCCTCTCCGCATTTAGCTTGCCTTACATAACAGCCTGTAACTGCAGCTATCGGAGTGGATTCGTAACTCTTTACTCCCCACTTAATTATTTTTCTTTTCTCTTCTGTTTTTAATCTTGCATTCATGTATATATGTCGTGGCAGCGTCAGCTTGAGGTATTTCCATGGCAACACACTGTGGACATTCAGCACACCAATCATAGCTGATGTAAGGGGGGCAATCTACCCTTTTATTTATCTGCGCGAATGTGTGGGGAGCACCACTACTTTTAAGGTTTCAAAAAGGTTACCTGGGCTGCATATGTCTGCTGGCATCTACAAACGCAAGCAAGAAAAACAATGCACCTGCATTCTATGACACTTTCTGTTGATAGAACATCACGTTCCTACTTGTGGGGACTCACTTACACTGTGCTGGAAGTGACGAATCAAAGCAAAGAAAAAGGAAAAATGGACTTGTAAACGGCAGGGCTCTCCGATCATTCAGTTAAATATTTTGAAAATAGATCCCTTGAGGACCATTAGTTGTGATCAAATCCATCCCAAAAAACATTTTTCAATCCAAACACTCTTTTCAGCCTTCTTGTTGTGAACTGTTGGTTTTCACGTAGTTAAGGCCTTATTATAAGTTTAGGAAAAGTCTGATTCCCGCTTTGCACTCTTTCTGAGACTACAAGATGGATCAGGAAGGCGGTTAGTGACAGATTAATCCACGCTACAAAGTATCACACATTATCAAAACATCACAAGCGTGCTCCTTTTGAACTGAAATTCGATATATTTGATCTAAAGAAAATCAAGATGGAGTGGCTGCTAAAAGTGCTTTGTCATATTAGAAGTTTTTTCTTTTTTAAACGTCTCACGTACCTGTGATGAATAGCTTATGTTGTCACTAATCATGTGAATATGTGGCATGCATTAAAATAGGTTGGCCAGTTTTATTCAGTTCTGCCACGCAATCACCTAAAAAGTTGATCAGTGTCTCCAGATCGGAAGTCCAGTTGTTGATCTCGTGTCCTTCCTCAGGGCCATTCGGGTCTACCGGGGGAAGAAGAGCTTTGGCTTCACACTCCGAGGTCATGCCCCCGTCTGCATCGACTCCATCATCCCAGGTACCTCTCCTTTTCTAAAAACCGTCACATCTCACTCCTCACAGACGCCTCCTCATTTTGTGGGGGGTTTGCTGTTGGGAGCTGGAGGGGGACAGATGAATATGAAGTAGGTGAGTCAGTTGTGGTGCCAGCCAGAATGGGTAAAGGTGATCAGGAGGTGTTTGTGCACTTGGTGGACTGAATGTACCAGGTAGTGGATTTGTCTGACTCACCGGTGAAATGTTTAGAGGAAAACACTCAGATCAACTACTTACAGATGCATTAAGAACTTTCTATTCATGGATGTGCCTTGCAATTAGCCGAACTTTAGGTTTGAAGAGTAAATCATCTGTAAAATCATTTTGAAACATTTTGATTTACTGATTATCTCATGAAAGAATCTTTGAACTTTGTGTAAGAATTACTGTTTTTCTTTTTTGTTTTATTTCTATCTGTGTGTTTTTACAAGAGTTGATGATTTTGATAGTTAGTTTTTTTTGTATTTGCTGTCATAAAACCAAGCTGTTCATTGAAATATGGAGTGGTTGCTACCAATGAGGGAATTTGCCAGATACCTCGATGAGGAGGGAGGTTCATCATTGGGTGTTTGTGTGTTTGCATTCAGTGATGACGGCACTGTGCTCGCCCACCATCAACCCCCACCAACATGTGCTGAGGTTGCTTGACTCAGTGGGCCTTATGGAGGTTGAAATGGAGATGGCGGGGGTGGGATGCGTGTCTCTCATCGTGATCCGAGCACCTATCCTTCATTGATTATGGGGAAACATAATACCCTACAATGTAAAACCCCAAATAGAAATTCTAAACTTTGGATGAAAAATGGTGTAAGGCGGATTCGACAGAGAAATGACAGATGAGGAGGCGACGCACTCAGAACAGAACTCACCACAGCTTGCTTTGACAGAGCCGTTTCCTTATGTAATGCAATTTCGCATGGAGCTCATCTCTTGTTGAACGTCTTTGTTGGATGTCCTAGAGAGACTGACAACATCGCATTAGTCACCATCTCTCTGCTCTGCCCGTCTGTTTTGTGCACGTTGTTGAGTGGCAAAGATGTGCTGGGTTCCATTTTCACCCCCTGATTAGCGTTTGACTCTCTGCCTCTTTTGTTTTTCTCTCAGACAGTCCTGCTGAAGAGTGTGGCCTGAAACCAGGCGACCGCATCCTTTTCCTCAATGGGCTGGACATGAGGTTTGCTTTACAAGAGTAATATTATTAGCTGGAACAGTAGTAAGCAATAGTATTTTTCCAATGCTTACTGTCCAATCTCCTGACCTTTGCTGTATATTTAGACACGAGAGCTTGTTTTTCTCCAGGAAACGCCATCTGCTGCCATTTCTAATGACTCAGCTTCACAGAGCCAAAAATGACACCACTAACATGCAGTCATTTGGATCTTTCGTGTTCCAAAACTCTCCAATTCAGCTGAAAGAAATTGTTTGTGTGCAGTTTTGCAATATTTACCTTCTGGCAATTCTTTGGCAATTCTTTTGACATCAGAAAGACAGAAGATCGACATTAAAGATCTTCTTAATTTTAGTTTTCTCCCATTTGCTGAGATATAACAGCAGTACCTAATGTTATAATTTCATCGAAGCTGATAGAAGCGATATTGAATGTGGATGTTTTTTGTCTTGAAAAAGAAGAGTTAAAGAAATGAAAAAAGAAGTTCATTATGGCGGATACATATCTGTATTTTATTAACTTTTTTATTGATATCGCAATAACAAATCCATGAGTGTTGTAAAATAGAAAATTCAGATTCTGTTTTCACTTATAAGTGTTTAGTTCTGATCACCTCGAACAAAGATTTAGCTGCTGCTTTTATTCAACATCAACTAGATGCTTCCTGTTGAACATAAGATATAGAGATTAACTTCTCACATCCATATTAATTTTAAAATGCAGAAACCTCATACAAAAATCTTGCACACTGGCAGCTTGAAATGTCTAACACACGTTGATAAGGCTAACTTAAGAGGTCCAATGTGCACGGGACGATGCATGTGATCTCAGCCTTTATATAAACAGAACTTTTTTTGTAGGAGTCATCATACTTATTTTGTGGACTTCACAGCTTTTGTGATTTTGTACCATTTTTGTGAGCGAGCGTGGGCGTGTGCATAAGAAATCAAGCCAGGATAAAACTGATTTGTGCCTATATGAAATCACATGTTTCATTTCAGCTGATAATATATATATATATATATATATATATATATTCATATATTCATATTCATCATAGCATTTACAAGTTAGACATATGGTGTACAACATTTGTGAAAATATGCAGAATTGGATACTGGATTTTACACATAGATGGAGGCTAGTTTTACAGTGTTCACCATAAAAATACCAAAACTTCAAAATGTTGTATTGCAACTGAAGTCTATTTAAAAACGTTTTCTACCAACGGACGGCAATGCACTGCTTGAAAACAAAGAACTGTTGAATTTCAAGAGAGGAAATTAATCTTTTTGCGTTCTTGTAAATAATTTAGGTCTGTGATTGAAAGCAACATACCATTTTGCCTTTCAGACTTTTTCATAGCAGTGACTTTAAGAGGGATGCTGACTCTTCATATTCATCCGTGCTTTCCCTCCAATTAGTTGCCAGCAACCAAACGTAAGAGCGCTAAACAGTCAAATACTCAAAGTTTTGTTTCCATCTTGATGTAGGAACTGTTCCCATGAGAAGGTGGTGTCAATGCTGCAGGGTAGTGGAGCCATGCCCACTCTGGTGGTGGAGGATGGCCCATCAGATTTGTCCTCAGACCAAACCGACCCAGAGGAAACCCCAAATCTGGCCCCCACCACTTTACCGCGCTCTAGGTGAGTCACAGAGTCCTACGTTTTGTTTTTCTGTCTGAACACAGTTGGCAGGAGATTTTATCATTAAATGTCAACAGCAAACACAAACCATTCTAATTTTCCTGTGTACCCACTGCACAGATCTCCAGCCCTTAGTTCTCTACAGTGGGTGGCAGAGATTCTTCCCCCGAGCATCAAAGTCCATGGACGGACCTTCAGCCAGCAGCTGGAGCACTTGCTCACCATTCAGGAGAGATACACTGTCTGCAAGGCCTTGGAGACTTTCTTCCAGCACAGGTGAGCACATGTAGGGTAAAAATTATGACTTTATACATTTAAAAGGGTGGGAGTGGAGGGATGCATGAATCCTGTGGACAGCTTTTTGTTCGTTCTAATGTTAGAGTTTCTCAGCGCTGATGTTTCTCCAAGAAAAGACTCCAGTACAATTTAAATACATCTTTATAGAACAACTCCCTTTGATAAACAGTTTCAAACAAATTGGCAGCTAAAGAATCCAGTCTCAGGTTTTCAGCATCTGTCACACTACATTTGTGGTTAGATAACTAGCTAACAGTTGCCTGGGAAACTGTGGTTTCGCTAGGTTCAATGCTGCAGAGAATGTTTCAGTGCCGTGAAAACAGGGAGAAAATGTGGAGGGATGAGAAGGGGAGTTTGAGCCCTAGGTTTTCTTAGGTGGATGGATGGTGCATTTACTCTGAAGCCCTGTGATGCAGCAAAATCAAAGAAAAAAAAAACACCAGTTCAATACTCTTATACACACTGCAACCAAGGGCATAAATCCAACAATAATCCTCCCATCTTTTTATGATCTATTCCCAGCCCACAGCTCATTCTCAGCTCATTCTCAGATGCAAATCCTTTCTCTGGATACCCCTCTCCACCAACCAAGAGTAAACTGTTGTTTATTTTGAGGATATTTTCTGTTTGCAGAAACGTGGACACCCTGATAGTCGATGTGTTTCCGGTGCTGGACACTCCAGCCAAACAACTGATCTGGCAGTTCATCTACCAGCTTCTGACCTACGATGAACAGGAGCGCTGCCAGAGCAAGCTGTCACGCTTCCTGGGGTTTAAGAGCAGTGGTGAGCCACTGCACGCCATACGTGGGAATTAGGCTTCCTGCATTCCACACATTTCTGCATACAAGCTGCATTCCCTTTGAGTCTAACTGCCTGTTTTACTCTAAAGTTGATCTTCCTGCCCAGTTCATATAAGAGTGTTGCTGACTGCGTCCTTGTATTCTGCAGCGGTGTTAGATCCAGAAGGAGGCACCGAGCACCACCGGCGGAGCAGCTCGGTGCGAGTGACGGGGTCGTCTTACCGCAGCAGCGTCCGAGAGAGGAGCTCTGACGACTGCATCATTGGGACTCACTTGGGAATGGGTACGCTGCATGTAAAAAAGAAAAAAAAAATTGCACCCTAGTGGAAGTGAAGATGTCAATACGCTTATCAGAAGGAGGGGGGGTCGGCTTAAACGTTAGTTTAATTCCTAAACAAATGTCAGATTTCTGTTTTCTGGCAAAACCTCCACTGTCACTCACTATTTGGCCACAACTAAACTCGAGCTTTCTAGAACTGCAGAGCTTTATTTTTTCTTGTTTTCCAGATTTGCTTTAAAATCAGTTGTATGCTATGCACTGCATTATTTTTAAAAATCTTTGGACAAAAGTAGACAGATGCAGTAAATGTGGTGATTTTCCACTGAGTACTGCATCAACCTATCATAGGTCTGTAATATCTCCACGGACCAGCCCTCAGGTATAACTGCAGTATAGTTTGACTGTTACAGAGAAAGATGCGTGCAGCAAAAAGATATCCAAGTGCATCTCCACTTCATGCATTAACTCCACATCTCAGCTGCCTCTGCTTTTAATAAGCTCTCAAAGCGCTCCTTTTTTGACAGCATCTTTGCAGAGTTTATTTCCATCCGAGGCAATTTTAGGCTCCAGCTGTTTCCCAAGTTCCCAATTATCATTGCTAATTCCACTTCCAGGAGCCATGCTTTTGCCTTTCTATTCTCTTCTGCTCTGCTTACCGCCTCTCCTCTGGTGGCTGTAGGAGTTACGTCCGTGTGTCTCTCTTCATGCTGTGTTGTGCTTTAGGAATTCATATTGATGAATGTGGGAGCCCGGAAGAGAGGCAGTCAGGAGATGGAACCTCCTTTCCTGAGTCCCCTGACCTCAGTCATGTAGGTATAACTGCAGCTTTGTGGCGCCTAGCTCCTCAGCAGCTGGCAATGTCAGTGCTTTCATGTGTCACCTGATTTGAAGGTCTGCTCGTATAAGGTGTGATCAGCAAATTTGAAGACTTGGGGGGGAAAAACCAGCAGATCCTCAAAGGTAACATAGCAACTGTATGCTAACCAGCTGATCATGCCTCCACCTATAGATGACAGGTGTGTACACGGAACTGGAGAACATGTACGCAGGGAAGAGCGTGTCTCCACTGCGGAGTGGCTCCCCTGCAGAGCCAGAGGTGCCGGGACAGACTGAGGCCTACGGCCGCTCTCTCTCCCCCCTCACACTGCCCCCTCTCACAGGTACTCTGGGGCCAACACACACAGCACAGAAACACACATACACAGATGCAAGCTTTCACATCAACAGTTTGACTCCTTTAGCCACCCAGGACCGATATTTTAATAGCGATTCTGTGAAACTCAGCTCATTATGGGCCTCTGTGGCAAACGACTGATGTCGTGTTCACATCATATCAGGTGCACTGTAAACCTGCAGGCAAGATATTCTCCCTTAAAATGATGTGAAGTTGGCATCCAAACTGCTGATATTTGAATGTGTTTGACTCCAAACTCATTCAAATCCTACTATCTTTTTATGTGCACATAAGCCCACAATCGACCCTTTGGTTGCCAGGGTTTCATGTCAGAGAAACCAGCCAAGACAGAGAAAGCCACATTGGAGCAGTGTAAAGAAGTCTCACTGGCAACAATGCTCTGCACAGGTTACCACAACTGTGTGCGCTGAGAGAGCGTGTCGCTTTTTGCAGGGAATCGCAAATCCGGTCTGTCCTTGTCCTGGAAGGAGCCCCTACCCACTCCCGTGTATGAGATCCATCACCAGAGCAGCGTGGACTCCAACCCCTATGTCAGCTTGGAGAGCCCCCCCACCTCCCCTCCACACCTGGACAGTGGTCCCAACACTTTAACCCGCCGCAGGAAGCTGTTCACCTTCTCCCGTCCCCCTCGCAGCCGGGACACAGATAAGTTCCTTAACGCCCTGAGTGAGCAGCTGGGTCACCGGGTCACGCTGGTAGATGACTTTGTACCTGGGGAGAACGACTATGAAGAGGTAATTAAACAAAAACAGCACACACACTTTACTTTTATGTTAGTCTTCTTAAGTGCATGTGTGGGTTATTGACCCTATGATTTTTTATTTTATTAAATTTTTCTTAGAGAATGTGCAAGTAATTTGGTCCAGAATTCTTCATTTTTATCGTGGCTCACGCGCTCTCTTCACTGCTGGAAGTTCAAAGGAGAGTGTGCAAGGGGCTTTCGGTCTAGAGCGAAAAAGTGACGATGCAATTGTACCTGATCGAAATGTCAGCTTTATTTACACAATGTTGACACCAACTGCCAACGCCGCTCAAATATAATTTTTTTTGCTTTGCATCAACTCCTGTGTATCTGTGAGCAGAAAACATGGAAAAAATTTAAAGAACCTTGTGAACACAACTGCACAAAGAAACAGCATTTATAAATCCTCTATCATTTATAGTTTGAAATTAAATGAGATCAAGATTTTCTTTTTGTTTGGGTGTTGAAAATGGACCATTAGACGAGGGCACAAGGGGGATTCACTTCTCTTTTTATGTCATATGATAAAAGTAACAATAATAAAGATAATTGGCCCGAAAAAGCGGGCTCGCATCAGCAGACTTACAGACTTACTTACATTGTGGTGTTGTATGCTTACATTAGAGTAGCTCTAATGTCCGCTACAATGAACGCTTGTGTCACACGCACAGATAAATCACGGTGGTTGTCATGGTTTCAGAAGAAGAGGTGCACCTGTAAGTAAAACTTGACCCTGTTATACAGTTATGACCTATACCTGCTTGCCTTTGGGTAGAAAACCTATTCTGTGTCTGTTTGTCAGAAATGTGCACAACAGCACATTTGAACTTATCTGTTGTTTGTTTAATCTAAAGCTTCTTATCATTAATATTTGTTGTGGTTCGCAAATGGGCTGGATGGACTGGTGCACATGTTTTAAACACAGATCACCTGGCTTTCCTTCATAGCCTTTGTGGCCTTAGGAAATGCAGCACTATGCAAAAGTCATGAGCCAAGCCAGGAGCTATTAGATCAAAGCATTACACAGCATGGTGTGCAGTGGAAATTGGACAAAAAATTGGAGGACCAGAGAGATGTGGCGCTTTATCCATCTCCTGTTCCCTGAAAACCTCATCAGAAATGCTCTCAATGGCAGGGTGGCTGTCAAAAAGCCACTCTTAAGGAACAGGTCTGATGGAGGGCTAAATCCTCCCCAGAGCCCAGACCTTAACATTACTGAAGCAGTGTGAAATAATTTTGCAAGAGAACATAGGGAAAAAAATCTTTGGGAAGTCCAAGAAGCCTGTAGAACTATTTCTGAAAGTTACACAAAGAAATGTGTTGAAAAACAAAGGTGATCATGTACCAGATTTTTGCCTTTTCTAATGTATTTAGAATTGCTTGTGTTGATAAATCGCTGCATCTTTTTTTTCTTTACTGTTTTCTTGGCAATTTCCAAAAAAATGGGTGCGTGTTTCAAGACTTTTGCAAAGTTTTGCATGTTTGTAAGACATCCATATGCCATAAATAATTTCCCAATAAACCATTAAATAAGTTTCAGACATTGTAAACAACAAATAGTGAAAGCTTAAATGATCCTGATGATAATAATGATTAGATATAAAGACAGCTTTATTAGAGTATGTGAAGGTGAAGGCTGTGGTCCACCTCTCCTCCCTCCAGATGAGTTTCCCAGAGGAGCAGGACCTGGGTTTTCCCCCCCGGCGGCTCAGCAGCGGCAGCAGCGAAGATCACAGTAGCAGTGACGAAGCCTCCTCCCCCACCTACTCCTCTGAATCTGAACCAATCCCACCACCTCCCGAACAGAGTCCCCCACCTCCCCCACCCTTCCAGGCTCTGATACCCCCTCCTGTCCAGTTCACTGACCCTCTCCCGCCTGTGCGCTTCTCACCTGAGCATGTACCACGCAGCCGGATGCCCTTTCAGCCACACCATCCCATCATCCCTCCTCCCCCACCTCCTCCAAGGACCCTCCTGATGAGCCGCTCCCCTCTTCACAAAGCGCTACCCGCCAGAAACGAAGGCGAAAGAACTCAGCGGCGCTTCCAGCCCACCTCCACCAGGCGCTTGCTTGGCCACGCCACCCTGGGCCCCTCGACTCTGCGCTCCTCCCAAGCATCACGCCCCAGCTACCTCCCCCGCCAGCTCAGTCAACCCCAGCCCATCCACCAGCCCTCCCTTCAGCCGCTGAGGCAGAGCCAGCTTGTCCTCCAGAGGCACCACCAGCTCCACCACCAACACAGCTACCAGGGCCCGCTGCCATCATCACTCCAGGAGCACAGCCCGTCCCAGTGTCAGAGCCAAGGCCACACGGGCTCCTCAATGCTATCCCAGCCTCCGGCTTCTCACTCCTCCCTTCCGATTCACAGCAAGACCTTTGAAACCCCAGACCAGGAGCAGGAGACCCAGCAGGTAACATCCGCATCTTTCTCTTGTGGCTTTTTACCTATAGTGTCTTATAGGTACAGTCTTTTGTATATATAATATCAACCAGACCTAGGAGCAGTCCACCTAGTAGCATAAGTGTCACATTTAAATTACATTGTCAGGCTCTTTGAACTTGATGTTATGCAGAATGTAAAAGAAAATAAGATGCACGAAAGAAAGTGCAGCTCATATTTTTCCTAAAAAAAAAAGAAAAAAAAGACTGTTCTAAATGTTTGTGTGTTCTGTTATTGCTGCTTAGCAACAATTTCTTAAGTATCTTTCATCTCGAAGGCTCCGCCACCACCACCTCCACCACTGCCACCACCGTGCGACCCACCTCCACTGCCCAAACCAGGTCAGCATGCCCCAGATGCCAACCACATGAGTGTGAAAAGGCTGCGCTGGGAGCAAGTGGAGAACTCTGAGGGAACAATCTGGGGTCAGGTGAGTGGTGACCGATTGTTCTTCAGCATGGATCAGTGAGAAGGCACTGAACATAGATAAACAAGACCCTATCAGAAAAGCCCTACTGTGAATCTTCCCACTTTGGATGAAAGTTCTCTCACTTCTCCCACGTTTCTTTCTCCCTTGTTTGGCTAAACCTGTGTGTCTCTGATGAGTCAGTGCAACGCTTTTTCCTTTGTAAACAAACTTTGTGCCAGTTTTTGCCAGCTCGCACAAGTAAAAACCTAAGACTTTTTGATCCGAAATTACTAGTGGATAAAAAATGGATCAGATTTGATATCTGTGGCTGTCTAACAGTGCTTCTCAAGGAGTTCAGAGTGTGTCTTTGTAATTTTATTTCAGCTGGGAGAAGATTCAGACTATGATAAGCTCAGTGACATGGTGAAATACTTAGACCTTGACCTGCACTTTGGGACTCAACGCAAATCCAGTAAGTAATTCTGAAACTTGAAGAATCATTCATTATATGTCTTCATCAAGCTCTTCATGTTCATGTAACTTTTCGGTGGAGCTGAATAAACCCAACGACTCATTTGTCATGTCTGTTCACACACTAACCAAAAATCATCTGTTTTGTTTGTACCCTCACAGTTTTGATGTTATCCATTCCCTGCTTTGGAGCTGCTCCATTCACCTCCACCTCAAATCCATTCTCCATAAGGCACCTTAACCCCCTTTTTGTGTTCTGCCCTATAATAACACAGAATTGCCAGAACAAGACAAAAAATAAAATAAAATTGTAATTAGTTTTGACTATCTGTCTTGGCAGAACTGTGTTACTATCCCATCAATCTGACACGTGTAGTCTTTGTAAGTTTCTGTCTAATTTAGACCCCCCGGTGCCTGGAGAACACATCCTTACCTTCTTGTTAAAATTATCAGTTTCTCCTCCAGAGCCAGCCTTCACGCCAGAGAACTTTAAAAAAAAAGACGTGGTGGAGATTCTGTCCCATAAGAAAGCATACAATGCCTGTGAGTACCTGTTCTTATATAAACTTTGAATGCATTTAAAAAATAACAGCTTCAATGGAGATTATGTGGCTTTAACATTGTATCCTCCTATCTTTTAGGTTTATGCATTTAGCAGACGCTTTTATCCAAAGCAACTTACAATGCAGATACAACATTACAGTTAGAATCAACTTGACAATATGTTACATGGAAGAAAATCACTTGGTGGTGAAAGTGTAGAGACAGGGGAAAGCACAGAAAGACTATTTGAGGGGATGGGTACAGGCTAAGGGTTAGGGTAGGTAATGTTCTCTGAAGAGCTGGGTCTTCAAGAGTCTTTTGAATATAGCCAGGGACTCACCTGTTCTCGTAGCGTTCGGTAGATCGTTCCACGGTCTTGGAAATTCTTTTACTTCTTTTTGATTTGATTTGATCTGTTATTACTGGAGTATCACTTTTCTTTTAAAAAAAGGGGATTTTAACCTTAAAAAAAAGTACTAACTTTGAAAACTTTAGGGAACTTGACATTTTGCCAAATTATTCCTATATACCGTCTCGCATTGCCCAATGTACCTTAATACTCTTAGTGAGATTTTTTTTTAAAGCCTCGAAGTTGTTGCTTTTTGACAATTTGAAAATTAATTAAAATTCACACACTTATCAAACGAGAAATACTGGAATAAAATTCTAAAGATTAGAAATTTTGATTGATATTTTACCCTTATAACCACAAAAGTGGAGTTCAACTCTACATAGATGTTGTAAGACATGTATAAACAAGGCAAATGAAAGGAGCAAAGTGGTCCTCAGTGAACAAATAGAAAGCTTACAAGTAAAAGTGAAAGGAGCTAAATCTTCCATGTTATACCCCTCTCTTTTCCCACTCACCTTCCTTTACTGTGCAGCCATTCTCATCGCACATCTGAAGCTGTCCCCCACCGAACTGCGTCAGGTTCTGATGAAGATGACCACCGATAGGCTGGAGCCGGCACACATAAAGCAGCTGCTACTCTACGCCCCCAATGATGATGAGGTCAAGCAGTACGAACATTTTGAACAAGACCCGGCTAAACTGAGCGAGCCCGACCAGTTTATCTTTCAGGTGCAAGCAGACAACAACATCTCAAACGAGAACACTCAGAATTCTGAGGAACTGTCTCCACGGATAAACCTGTTTTTGTGTTTCAGATGCTAATGGTACCTGAGTATAAGACTCGCCTTCGGAGCCTCCACTTCAAGACGACCCTACAAGAGAGGACTGAGGAGATGAAGGTGGCATTTGACTACATCTATAAGGCCTCAGTTGAGCTAAAGAGCAGCAAAAAACTGGCAAAAATCCTAGAGGTGATACTTATGAGCAGGCATATCAATTTATGAAACTGTCATGTGTGGTACCAGTTTATATTAAGTGCAGTTTTTGCCCACAGTTTGTCCTTGCAATGGGAAATTATCTGAACAACGGGCAGCCTAAAAGCCACAGGACAACCAGTTTTAAGATAAATTTCCTCACAGAGGTACATTATAGATGCATGTATTTGACCACATTACAGCTTGATTTGGGATTGTTGGTCATTATTTGTTTCCTTCCATCTTGCAGCTAGGCACAACCAAAACAGTGGATGGAAAATCCACCTTTCTACACATTCTTGCTAAGTCCTTGTACCAACACTTTCCTGAGCTGCTAAACTTCCCCAGAGACCTTACAACAGTGCCTCTGGCTGCTAAAGGTGGGCCGTAATAAAAGTATAAGTTTAGAATGAAGTCATACAGAAGTATACAGCAAGCACTGTGTTACATATTAATAGTTTTTTTTGTTTTTGCAGAATTACTAAAATTATTAAATTACCCAATGAGTGTTTAATTAAAAAAATTGTCATTTGCACAAATTTTACATGTGGCCTGTACAGTCAACCAGAGGGCCATCACATCAGAGCTGAGTGACATGCATTCCACCATACAGGACATCAGGACAGCCTGTCAGAAGATCCCAGCAACCACCGAGGACCACTTCACTTCAATCATGAGCGTACGATTAAAAACCTTTAACCTTGTACATTCCACATAAACGTTTATCGCTTTTGAACTATACTTTCAGAGGGATTTATGCAGATCCTACACCCTCATGTTGATACAGTCGATATGGAGAAATTGTAAAAATTCTAAAAGGGTAGCTTAGTGAAGCACGAAGCCTGTATATAAGGGATGGATGTCATTATTGCACATTTTAAATGAGAGATCTGAGTTTCCATCCCAGTACTCACCTGTTTCTTAAAGTTTTTTTTATTTTGGGGTTTTGCCACAGGTATGAAATGTGTTAATTTTTGATTACATGTTGTATTATGTGACCATTCTACATGTTGGAGTGTTTTTACCAGGAACTGTTTGACATTTTAGGGTCACTATTTAAATTTTGATGCTGCCTTCAAAACTAATTGATATATTGATATATTTTAAACATAGTTATAGTTACAGTATCTTAATGGGGTTGTTTTCCTCAGAGAGACATAGGATATATGTTTTACATTGTAATCTGACGTTTCATTGTTTTGCCTACAGAATTTTCTGGAAAACAGTCACCCTTCGATCCAATCACTGGAGTCTCTGCAAGCCAGAGCAATGGAGGAGTTCTCCAAGGTAGCTTCCTACTTTGGAGAGGACAGCAAGTCCACAAACACGGAGGCTTTCTTTGGCATCTTTGCAGAGTTCATGTCAAAGTTTGAGGTGAGCTAACTACACAGTATCCAGTTTCAAAGTGTCGCTGGAGCAAGCTGTGACAAACTTGACAGCGAGCAGCCGTCAAGTGTGACATTTTTAAACCTGCATTACTTAGAGGTTTTGAGCTGACACTCTCAAACCCCCAACTGTGTGCTTCTGTAAAATGTACTGCAGTCAGCGTTATATATGTGCACTCAGTCTGAAAATAAAGTAGTAAAATAAGAACAAATCTGATAAAATGAGATGGTGGGTTTCATCTTTCAGAAGGCTCTTACTGAAACTCAGACTCCAGAAAACCCCAGAAGCCCCAGACTGTCTTCCCCTCTGGCGTGGTAGAAGCAAGAAATGCAAGTGGATATTGGGCCAAATGGATAATTTTTCCCTCTGCTCTCCACAACCAAAGTGCCAAGATCCCACACTGAGACACACAAACCAGGAGGTCATCAATAGAAAACATGATGGAAACTGAAACTAGTTAAACACAACACTGGTGCCCCGTGTGAAGCGGTGCCATTACCCCACTGCCAGGGGGGACCTGGCGTCCATTCTCCACACACAAATATCATGAAACACCTGTTTTGAATCATGAGGCCATCAAGGTACAGCTAATTAAACCCTTCATCTTAATGATGCTTTAACTAATTCTTCAAACAGCAAGAACAAGCAGCGTAGATGCTTGCAGATTAAATGCTATGTGTATTACGTGACTACATAAAGTTTATATCCAAACAAAACACTAGTGTAATCTGTTGATGCATTCACTGCCTGGGAAAAAAAACAACACTGGACTTGTTTTTATGTTTGTCATCGAGCCTACAAGAGAATGTGTTTCTTTCTAGTTTATCATGGATTTAATGGACAGCTATGTATGGAGATGTGAAGCATTTTTACACAGAAAGAAGATGCCATCCACACCCCACTGCAAGGCAGATAAGGATAGTATCATCATTTCTATAGGGAAATACAGTAAGAGCAAGAAGACTTTCAACATGTGGATTACAAGCAGACACACATTATGGATCCATTTAAAGAGTACACGTTTTCTTTCTTTTATTTATTTTCTAAAGGACAAGTGGTCATCAGCCTCTGATGTTGGGACTCCATGAGGTCTAGACGTATCTGCAAAACAGTCATAATTCAGACACTCCAAACAATGCTTTGTCTTTTTGGCAGTCTGGGGATGAAAGCCAGCTGGGAAGTGGAGATACAGAGCTGTGTGGCCTTTGGCAGAGTGTTGTGAAGGCAACCCGGCTTAAACTAGGTGTTTTGCTGCCGAAATAACGTGCAAAGGTGTGTGTGTGTATGAACGTGTGTGGGAGGTGGGTTAAGCGGGCATCCTGCTGTAAACGGTTGCATCCTGCTCCTTCGGTCGTCACGGTGATGACACGGCTCGTCCTCGGTGTTGTGTACTCGTGCTGTATTTATGATGATGAACTTCCATCGAGGTTGTAAATGCGTTTTTTTTTTCTATGCACCACTCATTGTTGTTCATCCGTTCTGTATGCTCGCCTGTCCTAAAGGTTGTAATTTTATTTTCTTACTAAGGGAAGTTTGCAAAAGACTAGGTACTTCTTCTTATTGCACAATTTGAGTTTGGCTTTCTTTTTGGAGCGGGGTCTCTCATAGCTAGTACAAGTGTAACAGTGTTTTATGGTCCCTGTCATAGCATGTTGGTGTCAGTTAATACATTATGGTGTGCCGCTGGTAGCATCCCCTCCTTTCTCCCTTTATATTTAGATTTCCAACTAAATACACTTCTGGTACCCGGTTAAGTTTATGCATTGATCCCCTTTTATAACCGTTTTATATGTGCTCATGGGAAGTTGGTGATGTTTTGTGATCATTGAACCCGTTTGTTTGCTTTCAAATAAAGAATACATTTATCTAATCTAATGAAAAAGAGCTTTTCTATCCTGTTTCTATCTTGATGGACATTTGACCGCTTTTCTAAGTAACTTTTTTTTTTGCCAAGTCAAATCTGTTGGCTTCGTGGTGTGGATCAAACTTTTGAGCCCATATGTTTTTTTCAATTTTTTTCAAATTGGGACTGGACTGTGAAGACATTTTTGGAGGCAATTCTAAAATGTCACATGGGTGTGCCACATCCTTGATCAGCATTGATTACTTGTTCAGGGACATTTCCTTGATGGAGCTTATTTTTAACATGACTTGAAGAAATGGTCCTGCACAGGCAAAAAAAAAACAGCCCCAAGCACAATTCTACTATTGCTGTGCTTCTTGGGTAGAACTCTCTGTATTGTGTGTTCCCCATAAACCGAACTGATGAAATAAAATGTTTTGGTATTATTGAGCTAAATTATTTTTGACTGAAATTCTAACATTCTGAGCTATCAGTGCTAAAATGTGAATCGACAAACCACAAGAGGATGTACATGTATATATATATTTCTTCGTATACTTTATTTTCTTTGGAAAATGGGTATAACCAAGCTTCATATTATACTTTTTATTCTATTTTTAAACTCATCAGAATACGTACATACAAAAACTATAGAGCTTGAAAATGCAGCATTGTTTATAGTTGAATTGTATTTCTCTTCAAGAGCGTCGAGGAAACCGAGATCTCGTCGTGCACAGGAATAAGGCAGCGAGGTACAAGAGCAAACAGAGAAATGTTGGAGGTTCTTCTGCTAGGATTGTCTCTGAAAAACAAAAGTCAGTTTTCAGGGCAATGGCAGCATCTGAGACTTTCTCCACTGGTACCATTTAGGCTCACTTCCCTCAAAACCGAACACTGCTTTGTGTCTGAGGCCAGGCTTTTGACCGGGATACATCCAACGCCACGTCACTGCTGAGATTCATAATTACAGGTGCTCTCGGCTCAGTGGTAAAGACGGCCAAAAAAAGGAAAAGAAAAACAAACAATAAGTTCAAGAGAAACCCCAATCACTGAATCTGGGCAAATGCAACATCAGCTGTTTCTGCTCACCGTGGAGAGGCTGGTAAAAATGGTCCATTCCCTATATTCACACACACACGCACAAAACCTGCAGCGTATCAAGCCCCTGCAAACACTACCGAAAATATTGGGGTGGATTGACAAGCATTGAGGGGCAAAAAATACTGACTGCTGTCTACAGGATGGGAGGGTAGGTTAACCCTGCTACTTCTGCTCGAACCCCTGGCCCCCCCCCCACCACTAAAGGCACCGACTGACACACGCTGACATGTGCAGCTTTTGCAGCGTGACACTGCAGCAGACACAACAACTGCATGTCGTTTCTACTGCCGGGGTTCAAGCTGCCTTCCTCATGTCCCTGAAACACAAACTGTTCCTAAGACAGTTTCTCAGAAATACTGCAGCACTCGAGGTCAAATTATGTCCCCCGTACAATATCTGTGATAAGGCATGATTCACACTTACAGACTGCATTCGTTACGTCAAGCCACAGGGAATGTATTGTTCTTCTAAATAGAAAATAAATATAAGGGGGTGGAAGAGACAAGTGTCTGAGATGACTGGAAACCTGCAGTCACATGCTACACTTGAAGCAACTCTTGGTTTCTACCATATCAGTTGACTTTCTCCCTCCCCATGTTGTGAGAAGAGAACTTCTTTGCTTCCTGTTTTAAGGCCATTTTCATTGTTCAACATGAAAAAAAAGACACCAAATTTGGAAAAGAAAAGAAAAAGTCCCATCTAGACTGATGGGATTTTTTTTTCTCTTTCTTTAAGCGTTCCAGCCAGGCACACCGCACACTTCTCTCAGGGCCCATTCTGCCGTTTGCTGTTGATTGTCTGGATCTTTGCTCTTCAATGGTCCGGTGTTAAGCGGCGGCAGCTTGGGTGTGTGCATGCCAGCCTAATGCCTTTGTGTCATCAAACAAGCTGCTGTCATCTGTCTGCCATTTTCTACTGAGTTTGTAAAACCTGCTATATTTACTTGTACTGGTCACAATATGTTAGCTCCTGGCACACACAGACCAGATTACTTTGGTTTGGAGAGTCACAAATATCGGTGAGTGCTGTCAACAGATAACTCAACCTTCTGTGATGGTGACATGGGGATGCGGCATGTTTCGCAGACACGGGCTGTGGTCACACAAAAGATGAGGCGCATGAAAGCTGAGGGGGGGGAAGGCGTGTGCTTCTCCTTATAGGACAGTGCTCTCGGTGTCTAGGTCACAGTCTTTGGGATGAGGCAGGGGAGGTGAGGAGGACGAAGAGGCCGCCACGGGCTGTTGGTCTACAGCAAACTCAGGGACCAAAGTTCGACACAAGCCCTTGAATGACATCCCCTGGTCTAGACAGCAAAACAAAGGACAGGTAAGAAGAGTTACTTTTTTTAAACCATAACACAGTGGTTCTCAAACAAGGAGGGGTGAAACTCAGAAATTGAATGAAAGCAAATGTTGGAGGATTGTTTGGGGGTGACGCAATAAACAAAACAAGTAGGGGAAGCGCAGAAAGATCCAGAGAGGGTAAAATGGAGAAGGGGCAAAAAACCTGAAAGCAGGAAATGTGTCAGCTAGTACCAGAACAAAAAGAAATGAGGGCGATGACAAAACGCTAAAGCTCAAGATGAAAATAAATAAAAAACCCGACATACGTCAGCCAGCCGCTCCAATTCTTTAAGAAACAACTGGAGGACAGCCTTACCCTGAAAAACAGTAAAAGGGACCCTAGGGTCTTGAAAGGGTGTGCAGCGGATGAGTGGCTCATTGTAGTGGCAAAAACAGGGATTTTATTAAGTTTGCCAGCCCAAATTGACGGATTCATCTCTGTTGTAAAAAAAAATATATATTTTTCTTTACACACAAACAGCTTCTTCTTTCCTTTATCATGTTCTGAAACATGCAATTGCACTTTTTTGTTGTTTTTTTAGTCTAGAAGCAAGGTCTTTTTTAGTACCCGTTTTCAACTGTTTTGTATAAGTTTTGTAAGAATGAGAGGCCTGAAAATGGTAAACTTTCTCTTCTTTCCCCTTTGAAAAATCTGACAATCACAGCCCTAACACGAGCAAAGAGCATGGATTACTTAGGAGGAAAGCGTTATGCACTGGATGCCATACATTACATGCGTGTTAACGCTCGGACTAAACCGTGCACACACTGTGTATGCTCATGATGTAACGTAGTCATGACAAACATCTGCATCCTCATGAAAGAGCTGTTCCCTCATCTCTGCAGCAGGTGGCGGCGTGAGCTCTAGCAGATGGGGAAACGTGCCTGCTGGTAAATGTGAAGTGTGGAAACCCGAGCCGGAGATGAAGAAATGTGTATCAAAGAGTTCCACAGTTCCACGTGCTTTGTGAGAGGAAACTCTGACTTTAAAACTCTGTGAATTGGTGTTATGCACGCTCCACGCTTCAGAAACAGAGCAGCGGCTGAAGGTTAGAGAAAGAGCAGATGTGGTGACTCGGCTCTTTGTGTGAAACCTATCACAGGTGCTCTTACAACAGATGAGTGGATAAGGTGACACGGGACAGTTTTGATGCTGGACAGCCATTTTATCCATAAAATCTCTGAACCAGACCACCCGTTGAAATACAAACCTTCAGTGAGGTAATGTAAGAATTTGGCTCCCTGACTAAGTGACAGTCCAGCATCAGAGTTGAAATCAGTGCCTTCATTTGGAAGCCGAAGGCAAAACAAAGGGGATGTCGAGTTGAACAAGATTTGTGGAAGCAAATAAAAAGTGTCAGTATTCAACAAACCTCTCGCAGAGTGCTTGTCTAACCTGCGGAGGCATCACAATGCAGGACAGTTAGACATGTTAGTAAAGGCTGTTAAAAGAAATCGGAGCTGGAAATATGGATGTGTGCAGAGTGAGAAGTGACACCCACCCATTGTCTGGTACGCAGCGGAACAGATCCCGTTGATCTCGCCGCTCATGGTGCTAGGTTGCGGTGGCGGTGGGATACTCGGTCTGCTCCGGGGTTTTGGGACGGGACGTGGGCGGGGGAGCGAGCCCGACTGATATGGCGACGGGGATGGAGGAGCGACTGCCTCCTGGCAGGGTGGAGGAGTGTCCGGAGGGGTCGGGGTTTCCGGGGGCGACAGCTCCGTGCTCTGCTGGTCCCCACAGGGCTGGCTGGGCAAAGACAACTGCGATGGAGGGGGGCTGGCCTGCGTGGGAGGCTCTGGAGGTGGATGGCTGGGGGCGTGGATTGGGGGCTGGTTGCTGGAGTGACGTCTAGGTGCAGCACATGGCTGTGAGGTGGGAGAGGTTGGTGAGGTGGGTGAGTGGCTGGTCAGGGATCTAGGAGTGGGGCTGAGGGACTGGGTTGAGGAGGAGGATGCATGGTTCACTGAGTTACAAGGCTGGCTGGGAGGAGGGTTCAAAGGTTTGGGAGGGGCAGGGGCCTGCTTCTTGGTACCTGGAAGATGATGATAAACCACTTATTTGGCACTCACAACCATATCAGATATGTAAGCTCCATCGAATACCTCCAGATATCTATGTCGTGACCAGATTAGGATGAGATTCTTACCTCGTCGAATCATATGTGGACTTGGCCCCATGGAAGCTACACCGGAGGCTCCAGCTCCCAGCTGCCCTGCAGCTGGCCCGCCTCCTCCAGAGCCGTTCCTCTGAAGCACAGGAGTTGGAATGGGTGTAGAGTCGCGCAGCTTTGGGTTGCTTTGAGGAGAAAGACAAAGTTTAACATTTGATTCTGAAAGCAGCTTGTGCAACAGCGAGAACTTTTTTTCCCCTCAAACTCAAATACAAATATAACTTGGGTTTGTCTCATCTAAATTCACCTTTTCCGAATAATTCAGTTGGATCAAAGGACTGCTGAATAACACTCAAGAGTGTCTGAAAATGAAGCTGTCCTTTCAATCGAAGGCACCCTTCACTGTGTGCAGAACAGTCAAAAATCCCCATGTTTTTCAAAGCAGTTTGAGCTGGTTAGTGTGAACTCCCTGCAGATTCCAGAGATTTGGGGAGGAGCGGGTAGGAATGGGGGGGCTGGGAGGCCTAGAGAGCGACTGTTAGCAGAATGACAGAGGCTATTGTTGATCTGTTTCTGTGGGCAGCCTTCAGACACGTCTGCATAGCTGCAACTGGTGACGACGCAAAAAACTTGTGGTTTGGATAGAGCTGACCCCAAATAATCAAGAAAAGATATGTGTTCCTGTTCAGTGTTAAATTAACCTGACAAACACCAGCAGTTTGCAGAGTAGGATAAAATGTCAGTCAACAGAATGAACTCTGAAAACATCAAAGCATGCAGGTTTGTCAGTGAGCATGCTGTGTTTTTCTTCGTCTGCAGCAGAGACCCAATGAAGCAGCTCTTACCTGAACTCCTCTGTTTGCTGGGCTAGAAGCTGCTGAGCGGCAGCGAGAGCAGCCAGACCCTGTGCCAAGCTATGCTGGGACGTATCCGGCCCCGAACCCCCTGGTGGAGCTTGTGACTGGGGTTCAGCCAAAGGCTGAGGGACCTGCCCAGCCCCATGTCCCAGCCCTTGAGCCTCCACAGGGGGTAAAGGAGGCTGGAAGGCAGGTGAAGTGTGCTGCTTTCTACCTAAGGTGTTACTGCCTCTACGAAGGGTGTGGTCCGAGTGCTTGTTAGAGGTGCTACACGACACCAGAGGGAGACGTGAACAGGAGAAACAGAAAAACACCACAGATTCATCCAAAAGTCACAGGTTAGACCAGAATCAATAAACCAGAGATTCACCAGACAAAATACAGAGGATTTGAGGATTATTCAGGACAAAAATTACAAGCAGAAAAAAGAAAAAAAAGGCAGAAAATTTGTCGCAAGTCATTTGATTCGAGTCAGCAAGGAATTAAAAGGGAAGCAAAAGACTTTTGAGAAGATGTTAAACAGCATAAGGTGGAGTACTTTTCTTTGCGCGTGGTGTCGTTCTCTGGTCCCACCATACTGCCAGGCCTCTTCCTCTCAGCGGTGCTGCAGTCGTAATCCGAGTGGTTGGATACAGGCGTGGGCATTACAAACATGCCGGACACATTGAACTCCACGTCTGTGAGTAGAAAGACTTGCTTTAGACTTGCACAGACAAACGCAATTTCATAGACGAGGAGCTTCGTGGTGTTACACAGTCTGTAAACCATTGACATGTGCTGAATTACGGCTTTTCTTCTGCAGCCTCCTATGCCTGCACAGGGCTGATGGGACGTCACTTGTGACAGAAAGGTGGAAACACAACCAAAATGTCATGGTCTCTCTCCAAGTGTCCTTGAAAGTGGGTGATGTCAATCCTGTCAGTTTATGCTCCCCTTTTCCAATACCCTCCCTGTAAAGTGGTCAGGAATACAACATTCCCTCTAAAGTACTAACCAAACCTCTATCTGAATCCTTGTAAAGCCAGATTGCAGCTGATTTTCTTAGTCTTAGTGGAATACTGATATCAGCTGCCTTCACAACGAGTTCCAAGTGTGCGATACGGGCTGCTGATGATAAATGCAGGAGACAAACATTTGAGTAGAAACTGCAGCCAGGGAGGAAACGTGAGGCTTACCCTCAGGAAAGAACCAGTCAGCGTGTTGGATGATGGGCTCAACAATGGACACCACGTGCACAGAAGTGGCCGCAGCCATCTCAGCCAGACTCCTGGAAATTAAAGGATGATCAGAAGTGAGAAACTTCTGCACGTGACAGACCGTCTTCCATAGAAAATGCAGTTTCCACCTTTCCTGCTTAAAGTATTAAAGAACTGGAGGTCTGTTTTTCTTTTCTCACCCCTCAGTTTTGGCCCACAGCAGATTGGGTCCGAGGACGATGGCAATGTTGCTGGGAGTCATTTTGTTCACCTCGCTGTCCTGCGCCAGTTTGGCTAAAAATTTCACCAAATACCTGCATGGAAAACAAAAGCAAAGAAAAGGGACAAAACGCAACATAAAAACGCTCAGAAATTAGAATAAAATCCATTAAATGTTGTTACCTTTTAAATCTTTTAGGTTTAAGCTACAAACCTTAAGTTGGATTTGTTGTTCTTTGGTAGGTTATCACATACGACCCAGAGTGCCTGGAGCCGTTTGTCTGGGTCCAACACACTTAAAAAAGACGGACATCAACATAAACTAAAACCCTTTTTTAAAGAAAGAGAAAATCCTTTGTGTAGATACATTTAATCATAAGTAATTTCTTTGTGAGCCTTGCCTGGATGCTTGGATCCACTCCTCATAAAGCTGGTAGGTCATTAGAGGTTCAGGGAGTTCTCTCAAGTAGGACTTGAGTGCTCCTGAAATCACACACACAGAGTGTAATTCAATCTCAAAAGTAAAAAAACTTCAGAAGTAGGTAATGCTTTGGGTCATACCAGCCACAGCGTGTGGATCAGAGTAAAACTCCTCTAGCTGTGAAGTGGAACAGTCCAGCGCTGCCTTCAGCTTCTTGAGTTTGGATGCCCCGGCTGCGATTCTGAACAGACCCTGAATCACACAGGCAAACTCAGATGTCACATATGGATCAAACAACAAAGAAGCACGTAGACATTCAAAGCCAAACATTCACTTTCTTTGCCCTAAATTGCAGATAAACCCTCTATAAATCCACTCTATAAACTCCCTCTGCCAGCTGCACATAATGAAACCTTAAAAGAGGCAAACAAACACACCCTGCAGTCACAGCTCAGCCAGCTCTTTACTCTGACACATAAACAAAGGCTGTCTTCACACCATAATGACCCAGACTGGGTGCACAGGCAAACGAAAAGAGCAACAAATAACGTGCTTTGCAGAGAACACTTGTGCTAACCCCCCCCGCCGATGGAAACACACAGAGATCTGATTTATAAACAGGAAACAGGCACATTCTATTGTATTCTAAATTTAATCCAGGGAGTAGACATCCCAAACATTTCATCAATCATGAGCAGCCGTGTTTGTGGAAAGGCACTAAAGAAAAAGAGCTGTCCTGTTTAGGGGTTTGTCCTCTTTCCCATCTCCTTGGACCCCCAAAAGTGTTCACGTGAAGAAATTAACAGCTATAAATTGCTGCAATATTTCTGATGCATCTGACAAAAAAACATGCTTGCATTCAAGCTCTTCTTTGGTATCCTCCTTGTCGTCAGGAAGACCAGAAATCCACTGCTGGGAGACCTGCTCCTCTTTGGAGGTATTTTGTCCCAGAGCTAATGCAAAAGTATCCATTATTGTCATTTAGAGAATATTACAGGGGCATGACTACAGTGTAAAGAGGGCATTTACAAAAGCTATGGTACTTGAGAACATTAGACACAGGGACAAAAAAAATTGTGACAGATTTAGGACCTTGTGCCTACCCCCCACACAATTGGCATTTTGCTATTAGGTTACTTTAGACGTGACAATGTGATGCAGTCATGTGCTGGTTGGTTTTCAGTTTAAACCAGAAAGAGGAGGAGCCCAACAGAAGACACAACAGAACCACCACAAAGAGGTAGAAATCCACAGATGAGCAGCACTAACAACCCCTGCTCTGTGCGACTATGAATATTTCTAAAAGTCTCTTTCAGCCCACCATAAAGCACCTCTTTGTTCAAAATGACTCCTATTTCTCCAGCCAACAACGGCACTGGCACAGAAGTTTGGCCTGTTTTCGCCTTTATTTGTTATCCATGGTGTGTGATTTCTCCTCAGTCTCTTGCTGGGAATGTATAAGAGGGGTAGAGGGTGACCAACACCACCTTGGTCGCACGCGGTATTTCAATGCTTCCATTTTTTTAGCCTTGAAGCGGGGTAAATCACGTCGGATATAATTTCATAACTTTCTGACCTCCTCCTTCATGCCGGTCTCGAGGAGCATCATGACGCAGGCTTCTATTGGCAGCGCAATCTCCCTCCCACTCCTTTTCAGGTGATCATCTAACCCGGTCCCAAATGCGGGCTTTTCCATCCATGAGTCTAAATACAAAGACAGAGAGAGCAATCAGCAGACAAATGTGAGTGTTTAAAGTGTTGAAACCGATCTGTAGATGATTTACAGGAAAGAAATGGGTCAGAAACTGTTCCCTGAGCTGCTTTCTTTTCCCCAACCCAAACCCCTCATATCAAGGTGCTGCCAAATAACAACCATATGTTTTCAGCCCGCAAAAGTGACTCTGCAGCCATCTGAGCATATGTGAGGTATAGAAGTGTGGTTAGGGTAGAAGGAGGGGGTGCAAATCCCAGGTGGGTGTGATGTGAGAAAGGGTGGGTGTGTATGTGCGGAGTTGGTGAGTCATCGCCACATGCTGGGAGACCAGGATTGTCTGGTTTTAGTCCACATGTGTTAAGTTCAGAAAAAGTATTTTGAATGAGCGGAGGCTAAAGACTTAAAAGCAAGAGAGATTGTGCCTGAAAAACAAAGTATCTTTAGAGAAAAAAGAGGTGTAGTTGCTAGGGTAAATGCAGCTGGATTTCTTGAGCTAGAGTTTTCCTGCTAGTGATGACATCTTTGTGCTAACTTCTCTTGTACCTAAAGGAATTTTACTGTGACCTTTCCAGCTTGTATCAGGCACGTCTTTCATCGTTTACCTTGCTGGGCCTGAATACTTGGCAGGACGCTCTCCAGAACAGTGAGAGACTTTCTGTGGTAATCGGCCTGTGCTTCTAAAAGCTAAAGAAGGACATGAGGGATAAGACAGCAAATTAAACATGAAGGCAAACCAAGACTTTTTTCTTTTTCCTCAGACCTGTTGAAACACTCACTGTGATGAAGTAATGGGCATAGTCGCCTTCTTTGGAGAAAAAGCTGTACATGTCTGCTGCAAGCTGATCCTGTGACACACAGATGGGGAGTGGACTGAAACACCATCTGCAGCCCAGCTCAACCAGTAAATTCACATAATAATTTTAAGAAATGCTCTACTCTAAAAACAGAAATAAATAAAAAAACACACTCATTGCAGCTCCTTCACTACTGAGCACGTTTGACGGGCGTATTTACCGTAGTCATTTGTTTTATGTTTATACATTGAACAGACGCTTTTATCCAAAGCGACTTACAAGCTAACATGTGTATCTCCCTGTCGGGGACTCGAACCATGCCATCCCACATGACCACTTCACTAATTTGTGTGCATCAGCCTTCTGGCTCATGGGGCTCATGGATCTCTGACTGTTCAGATGTTACTGTAAGCTTCCCACTTTAATGCTCCAGTTTGTTATCTGCCAAGTGTGTGTCTTAAAGTTATTTAGCTTGCCATGACACAGCCAAGCTGATAGTAAAATCAGCCAAGGAGATAACAGACGTGTGTATGAGATACTTTTTTTTCTCTTTAAATCGCCTTGTGATCTGCAGCTGATCACATCAGTCAGGTTTTACTACAAGAGAAGCGTTTCCTAACAGCTACTGCTTGTATTTTATGTCGTTTGAATGAAAGGTAGTTACCTTGCAGAGCTCCACTTTGTTCATAGCTTCATCCATCTCCTCTTTGAGCAGGTCAGCCTTGGCCGTCAGTGCATGAGTATTTGTTCCTGAGATTATGGATTTGGTTGCCTGCAACCACCTGATCACAAAGGTTCATGGGAGGAAATGGAAACTCAATAAGTACTTGGCCAAAGTATTAAGAAAAAAAAAGTTAACCACTAATGAGTGGTATAAAAAAATCTAAATCAAAGGCTGTAGACTAACCTTGCTCTTGCAGAATCATAGTCCAGCACAAACTTGGCCAGCTGCTTCCTCTGCTTTAGGATGTTGGGAATTTCTACCTAAAAGAGGACATGTGAAGCTGAGCAAAGCCTTAGATAACAATAGAGATCTGGAAAAAAAAAAGACATCCAGCTTCTGTTAGCTCGTAAAGTTGGTCTGACCTCTGCAAGCTGGCTGAGAGGATCCAGAACATCCTTCTCTATCTGCAGCTCGTGCTGCATCAGTTCCGTTGCCAGGTGGTTCTCCGCCTCTCCACACACTTCCATCATCTTTCTATTAACACACATAGCAACACAGATAGCCTCATTAAAAATGTTTTAATTAGACATCTTTTTCATAATATTGGGATTTAGCGACACAGACAAACCATAGCTCTCTGCCCCCAATCAATAGCTGAGAGGAAAAAAAAAAAAATCAGGTCACTATAATGTTCTCATTTCCAGCTGCCAAAAGACAGGAGCATGCAATGGCCTGGGGACAGCTGATCATGTGTTGGGATTTTGTGCCAGAGTAATAACTCTAATACGCACTTTCCCTTCCATATTATTTCCAGACAGGAACAGGGCTGCTGCGAAGCCTCGGAAACATTCACTTTCTAGATCCTCAGTTGGTCCAGCTTGATTGTTGAGGAGGGGAACTACTGAAAGTCCCCGACATGATTCTTGACCTCAATGCGTAGTCTCGTATTTCACACACTGTCCCGAGTGCTCCTGCTCCACATTGAGACACTTTCATGGAGGCGCAACTGGATGTCTGCTACGTCATTCAAAAACTCACCCTATCAAAGAGTCTTCTCCCAGCTGGTTTCCACCCTCCACCATTGCCTGGGACAGTGCGGTGAGAGGAAGCTTTTTCTGTGGCGTGCATGGGAAGGAACAGATGCAGACGGGGTTTAGACTCTTATCGACACATTAAATGCATGCAACGTCGGCATTTCATGTTCAAGACAGTGGAATGTATATCAAAGGTTTCCACAGTAAATTCTGTAAGAAAGAAAGGGAGTTTTCTGAGGAGAGAGGAGGAAAGTGCTGATGTTTAATGGGTTTTAAGATGAGAGCTGAGGAAGGGAGACATCTATCCGAAGACAACGTTGTAGAGCCCCTTTTTGACCCCACAGGCTAAAGTGTCATGCATAGCAAATCAAGGTGATAGATGCTGAAATGGAAATGGAAAAAGTTGATCTGAAGGCAGAGAAAAATTAAGTTTTCTTTTTTCTTTTTTACCTGACCATTTCCTGTATAGAGGCGTGGTACGGACTGTGGGGCATTTGTGGGCGGTGTATGGTAGAAGAAGAACAAAAAAAAAAAAGACAGAGACAAATCATAGAAGGCTCTGCCTACCAATGAAACTTTCACGTCATTTGCAGTTGGAACATACACTTGTCTGGGGGTTGATATCAAAACTGCATGACAGCCTGGAAAACAGCTAAGTAAGGCTTTACTGTGAAAAATTGGACTCACGTGTCTCTTCTCTGCATCTGCACCGACATGCCCCTGGAGACATGACACCATCTTTTTGTGTGTGTAGTGGGAGACCACGCGCACCAACTCCATGCGCCGCTCGATCTGTGCCGAGACACGCATGATGCGATTAACCTTACAGTAAAGCAGCCACATCAAAAACTAACGTACGGCTTTTAGTTTCAAAGTTACATTTGTTTCAATTAAGTGTCACAAAAAAAGCACAGACACTGGCGCAAGTGTTGAACTTTTGCCAGCATCATTAATATGCCTCTGTTCAACACAACAGCATGTCTGCACAGATTATGACTGATGTGATCCAGCTTTATCCAGTCCTCCAATTTGCAGTGGCCTCATGGGAACTGGGGGTCAAAGTTCTGGCATGATTGATACCGCTTGTCCCCACAGATTAACGCTGGAATGTTATCTGTGAAACTTGCGATTCATCGGAGGCGTCTTCATAGCAGTGATCGGTTAGTTGTGACTGAGGGAGAGGGTTTCTTGGCTTTAAGAAAAAAAAAACTGGCCTTTCAACTAAACAGGCTTTTTCCTGTCCACAGGACTGACTACACAGATCCACTCTGTGCTTTTCGGGTGACCAGATATAATACTGTCATTGACCAAAGTCTATGGGAGAGAGGCCAGCTGAAGCTCTGTAGAATGACTATACACTGTCCTTGTCAAGCCAGGTGTCGACATTAAGCCGACGGTCCGTGACTAGGTCTAATGACTGCAAGTTTCCCCTCAAGTCTGCTTAAAAGTCTGGCCAACGTAGACTAAACAAACCTTAGATTTAAGATGTCAACACAACTGAGAAAGTCAAAGCAGGTTATGTGTAATCTGTGCTCCCATCGCCAACAGGTGTCTTCTTTTTAATGATGACAAACTGAATAAAAAAACCAACGAGAAGTAACAACCAACAGATCCGTAAACTTCTGCAACTGCAACACATCCACTTAAACTGGAGCAAACACCGTCCCAAAAGTAAAATGGGAACGTTGAGGTCCAGAGGGGAAGCATGACAAAAATGGATGAAGACAAATGCAGGGGGAGGATCAACTAAATACCAGACAATTGTGTTCCAAAAACAGAATGCAGTCGGAGTTCAGGAATTCTACTGCAGATATCCGCCTCCTTACGCAGCCCCTCTGTTTTCCTTTCTCTCACTCCGTTCTCTCACTGTTACGTCATTCCTGACCCACAGTGGCCCCAGGCATTCCCAAAACAGCTGGGTTATACAAAAACTTGCACTCTTTAAAACAAGCACACAAACATTGCATCCATAGGTTATAAAACTCAAGACTCAGTGAGAGCCTGGAACAATATAAATGGGGGAGTTGGGGGGGGGGCTCCATTCTCTCTTAATGGACTAAATTTCCACTGTGGGTGTGTTAAATATGCCTGGATCAAATGGCAGTCTTCTTTTTCCTTGTACTGTAATAAAGAGAAAGGGGTCAGACGCAAAACCCTGTTCCCTCAAAGAACAACACACACAGAGGAGTGTGGAAGCTGAGGACAAAGCCAGCAGGGTGTATTATTCCTCCTGTTGTGTGGTGAGGTTGGCACTTGGTCAATCTCCTGACACGTCACAGAGCAGGGAATCCCAGTAATAGGTCTGGCTGACAGGGTGGAAAACAGAGACTGCGGCAGCTGCATTTGTTTGTTGGTCTCAAAGCGAAACATGTCTGGAAAAGACCTGAACGTAAGGTGACGTGTTTGACTCAGTGTTAAACTGAAGCAAACAAAATGTTCCTTGTTCGTCTCAGTGGTATGAGTATGAGGTATTGTAAGTGTTTGAAGAGTTGGCTGTTCTCTCATGAGATGACTAAACTGAACCAAGGAAGCAGCCATCCTTGCAGCACAGCTTTTCTGGAGTAGTGCAGAGGCTGCTACTGTACACAGAGGAACAGTGAGGAACTGACAGCTGGCAGGAGAATGTGGGAAGGCCCTCACCACCTGACTGGGAGGGAACAGGCTAAGAATAACACCTACGATGACAACGTCAAAGTTCCATGGGATTTCTCACTGTGCATGGAGGGCATGTCGGAAAATATTAAGCCAACTGAGGAATCAACTCCAAAGTCCTTGAGGGGCTCTCATAAACAACCCCACATAACTGGAAGATTATGCTGTGTTTTCAAAACAAAACACAAGTTCCCCGTAGATCAAGGGACATCTTTTAAATAACTTGTTGTTCCTTAAGTGTTTCAACTGCAGTCTAAAAAGTCTTTCAGATCAGAAAAATTAGTCAGATCACATCTGAATAAAAAACAAATCGTTTTTTAAAATTGCTTTAGGTCTTTATGCTGCCAAAATAAACAAAGCTTTAAGGCTCAATTCCTAATTCAATCTGAAATCCACAGGTAGACAAGTGACAATGCCAAAATATTGCTGGGAATGTGTTTAGATTTACTGAAACTTTTTGAGAGGACTCTGGACAAAGAGCCAAGCTCTGCTAAAGACAAAGTTTTTAGAGGACGTTACTAATGTTTTCACAGTAATGGGAAGCACAAGAATACCTCAAACTATGGTGAAACTGGGAAGCCAAATAAAGTAGAGAGAAGCAAACTCAAAGAATGTGCAACAGATTGTGTGTTTGGAGATGACAAGCAAAGGAGTCATGTGGTAACAAAGGGTTTAAGAGACTCCATTTCCTCCAGACAGCAGCTGATTTTCATATTGAGAATAATTTAATCTTTGAGGAACCATCAAATGTAGTTGTTGGTAAAATGAAAACATCCTCCCTTAGTGAACGGCATCCAAAGCAGTTTGTTACCACTGCTCCTCGGGCTAACCTGCTGAGGCTTTTAGCTGTCACTCACTCATTTCAACTTCCCTCCCACCTACTGACAAAAGGAACAGAAAATCTTTCAAAGCCCTTTCTTTAAGCATTGGCTACAATAGCAGGTGGGGAGAGGAACTGAGTAGCGAGCATGCTGTACATTGTGTCTGTTTCCTATTGCAAAAGTTGCCTGGTTTGTCGTTATCCATTATTGTTAATTTGTTATTAAGCGCCGCGGTTCGCACACAAAAGGCAGTCTTCATTGCTGGAATGTCTTAGCTCAGCATCCAACATTTTGCCCCATCACCTGTCATCATCAGACAGCATGAGGAGAGTTTTCTCTGGGAAAAGCTTTTGCAGACACACGCTGCAGCACTGGCACATTCATAGTCACATCGACCTGTGAGGTGTGTGGATCTGTTGGGGACAAATGGTTCAGAGGGATTAAAGGGCTGCCTGTCAGCAACATGAGACAGCATGACAAACCCAGTGACTTATTAGTTCATTTGTGACATTAGTCTGTGTTCCGTTTCAATGAACTTGTGCTTTGATTTATGACAGCCAGGTAATATAGGCATGCTGTAGTGTTTTACACACTATAATAAAGGATTTGCTCTTCATATATTCAGCTAAAAAATCTAAATAAAGATACATAACCAGTTGCATTGTTTCTTTTTTGTTACTTATAATTAGGGTTTCTGGGGTGTGCCTTGAAGAAACTTTTACAAAAAATACCAAGTAGATGAGAGGATATAACATCCTTTTAAAACTAACACACGCCGTGTGGTAAATTCAACCTTTGTCTTTAGAAAGGTGAAAACATCTAGAATGATGTGTTACGTTCAGCTATGGTCAAACTTCAGACAAGAAAAACTCTGAGGACAAAAACATTCCTGATGCGTTTGTGTCGGCTTTTATGTGCTGTGCTCAAAAGTAACAGTTTAGTTTTTTGTAGAGCCTAAAGTCTAAAGAGGGGGCTCTCTTCTTTTTGTCATCTCATTCCTGCTATTCTGTGCTTCACAACAACTCTGGGATGTGGTTCACAAACAGCTGTGATTTGAATCTGCAGCCAAAATAAATATAAGGCAGAAGACAAGAAGCAATTACATGAGAATCTGAAGCAGACTGCTTATTGAAATGTAACATACAGCAGTGCATACATAGCTGATACGGGTCACTTAGCTTCTTTTGTTGAAGACTCCCTGTACAGGATGCAGATTAGTTTAGATTTATGTACCTTGGCTATTGGCCTCAAAATGCAAAGCTTAAATCCTGGCTGTGTTTTGCCTCGAGATTAAGATAAGTAATAATTACTTCAAAACATAGGCTGTCAGTGGAAACACAGTCCAGCTGCTCCTTTATTTCTTCTATTCTTTTGGTAAAAAAGATTGAAAGATTTATAAAGAGGGGCACTGTAAAGTAACTTTTTAATAACAGACAGTCTGAAATGAGAATAAAAGAACGGAGGAGCTCAAGGAAATCGAGTTACTACCCATAGAAAAATAGATTCTTGATGGGGCACCAGTTTTGTGTCCGTTTTCATTTTCAATTTTCATAATGTGACAAAACCGGCTTTTCATTTATGTTCAAAGGGGAGAGATCAGATTTGTGCACCGTGCATTCCACGTTGCTTCTAGCAGCCTTTGGCAGTCACACATGGCATGGACGTTAAACCAAACTGATTTTAGACAGTAGCAGTCAATCTGATGCAATCATGATAAGAGCTGATTAGAGCCCCACAGAAACAGATTAATGATTTACCTGCAGGAGGTCTTCGCTGAGGACTTCTGTTTTCTCTGCTCTGTGGGGTGAAAAAAAAACAGAGAATAGAAATTAGTACTTACAGATGATAGAAGCAGATAAACAGTCCAAGGCACTTTGAGTGTACTGTAACAAGAGAAAAAAAAAGGTGCAGTTTAAGTGTTGACACTCCGGACAGACCGGCTTTCATGCTCAGACTGGAGGGTAAAAACTGCATCCTCAGAATCTGTGGGGATCTTTTGAGACTGGGTCGGGTCTCTTTGCTTACTTTTTGCCATGGCTTAAACAGCCCGGCGAGAAACTGGCAGGCTCAAACAAACAGACTATTGAATATGAACGAGTTCCTTTCGTGGTGTCTTTTTCATGAGCTTAGAAAAGCAAAAAGGGAAAAAGACTGATGCAACAGGTAGGGTCAAACCATAAGCTGAACAAGCTTTAGTTTCTTTAAAGCTGCAGCGAGTTGAGCTTGTGGTGTTGTACACAGTCCTGCTACGCCTGAACCTATTAATAGTAACCCAATAGTTTGAGCTGAAGAGGTCAGACAGATTACCTTCACTTAAAATCAGCAAGCTGGGAACCACAGGCTGAGCTCAGACTGCTTATCAACACCTCCGCTCATGCTGGGGGGGCTATGGCTCAAATCCAGTGGCGGACCGTGCATTTCACACCTAGGCCATCAGTAGTGCTCCCTCTGAATCAATTCACCCCTCAATAACTATTTTATGATTATGGAAATCATCTTATTATGTAAAATACAGTAGGGATGTCCCGATCCAGCTTTTTTTTGTATTAAAGTTGAAGGTTATTTATCTACTTATTTAGTTGTCAGACTCATGTTGAACAGGGATTTACTCTGATAACAACTTAATGGTTAGGACAAAGACCTGTGGGTTAGGAGATGTTAATGCTAATGTTCGTGTGGGATTGGACTTATAAAAAAAAAATGGATCTGGAGTCTGGATCGGCATTTTCTCATGCCGGCCGATATGATCCAAATATCGGACTACTGCAGCTAAAGCTGCAACCCCCCCCCAAAAAAACATAAATAATATCCTCATAAACTCGCGATATTATTTAGGAAAAAAGCAACATTTTGCTCACTTACTTTTCTTGAAGGTCCGTCTTGAAAATGGCCTTGACATTAAATCTGCCACCAAATCATAAAATAGCTATTACACCAACACAAGTATATTTCGGTTTGTTTGCTAACTTTTGCTGGTAGGCTATCTGACTATCCAATCAGCGGGTGTGATTACGGTGATGTTGCCTAAGGCCTTCTAGAAGGCCCTGGTGTCACCAACTAAAATCTTATTGGTTAAAGCAACAGTGTACGCGACATGTATTTTCTATTGGGGGGGGCCCTGCAGAACGGATTGTGAAGGCCTCCAGGCAGATATCTTTGACTTTGACCCTGCTTAGCGACAAATGACGGCTAAATGTGATTGGTTAAATGCTTTTATATGAAAATGCATGTCTGGAAGCAGCGCAACCAGGGTTAAAGCTATGAAAGGAAGCGGACAGACTATTTAGAGATATTTAATAAGTTTCCATGGACAAAATATAATTAACATCAGTCTGTGATTCAGATTTTTTCTTAGGCCTGCAGAGAAGGTCTTGCAGGCCCTGAAGGCCCACCACTGCTCAAATCCAACTCACTTGTGATTTACATACACAGTTACTTCAGTTCCTATTAAATAACAGCACGCTACAATACTGTAACGATTATAAACTGTATTATAGCAGGCTGTTCAGAAAATTCATTTTTAGCTGGAAAAACCCTGTGTGACATACATTATACGCTGTATGACAGAGCGAATGAACAGGCTTGCGGTAATTCCTTTTTTTGCTCTAAGTACCTCCCTCTCATGTTTGTCCAGTCAAACTTTCTGTCTCAGCACGGTGAAGATATAGTTGTGCACGAATGTGCAAACTTTTCCAAGTGCACCTCGAGCAGAGCCGAAAGCCGATGTCGCACGCCTTTTTTTTGGGTACTGGAGCTCTAAGTGAGACCTAGGCCCTTTTCCAAAAACTGCTCTCTACGAGCAGCAGTATCCTCCTCACAGCTGCTTTCAATTACAGCAAACAGGCAGGGAAGAAAAAGAAAAAAACCGATAGATGGGCTTTTAGTTAGAGGGTCTGTAAGAAAGACATGCATACAGTTTGATTTTGTGGGTTAGAAGTTGTTAACAACTAAAAAGAAAAAAATGGGTGTAAATAATAATCATCAAGATGAGATTTCGAGACAAATCTCATGGGGTAGCATCTTGTAACAAAACCTACGTCCAAGTGCACTATAGAGAAGACAACACATCGTTACGAACCGGTATAATTTGTACAAATGCTGTTGGATGTAAAAACTTTACTGGTTCGACGTCTCAGCATGCTCCTCCCACCAATGCCAATGTGAACAAGGACAGCTGGTAAGGCGTGTATGGGATGTGCAAATATTGCCCTAACCGAAAACGCCTGAAAGGTCTTCAGATAAGGAGCGACGCTTGTGCATCCGACTTTCAAAAGCACTGTGCCACAGAGCTTCATCAGAGGACAAACAACAAACAAGACGACAATTGTTTTGCTAGCATCAGCTGACCAAGAGCGAGCCATGCAGAGCCCCCCCCACCCCCCCACCCAACGTGCCTCGCTACAACGGGAGACTTTGGAAAAAGTATGTCACCGTGCAAGCCGCATCTGACTTCTTCAAAACAAGAGATCCTTCCTGCTCTACCATGGCCAATGGTTCACAATAGTAACCATGGCAATTTACTATGAAAGTAGAAAGGGAGTAAGTGGATGCTGAAGCCATGAACACAATGGAGCCGCTGTTAGTGGCTACTCAACACAATCAGCAGGGTGAAGAGGAGGAAAGGTATGCCTCTTACAGCTGCGGCAGCTGGCAGCTTAAGGTATAAAGTAATGGATACCAGCCCCAGAGGAAAGGAGCTGGAGGAATAATGGCATGACTCAGCTCGTACAGCCCCTCTTACGAGGCTGATTAGTGTGCTGCAAAGACAACATTAGGCCTTGAAAGGAGAAAGCAAAACACTCAAATGAAAACTACAGGACTTCTATCAATTGTGAAGATAAAGCAACAAAAAGTTGACATGTGCATTCTGATATGAAGCATGATTTCCCGCTCACTGACATTTACATCCACATCTGATCACACCAAGTCAATTTTTAATTTAACAACACTATGGGACTTTTAGAATGGCAATGAACTGATTCCATTCAGATTGGACAGTATGTAAAATGTCCATGAAAGCAGAAAAATGTGTTGCTTCTTTTCCCCACAGTAAAACAAAAGTAACATGAGTGCTCTTCCAAAGAACCTTTACAATCAGGTCAACTAAATAACAACAGATAAGGCAAACAGTAAGTATTTCCCTGGAAGTGAGACTGGTAATTGTAATAACTAAAAGACACTCATTCTGTCTTGAGAGGTCTAAATTACTCTTGCTTAAATAAACAAAATTATCACCGGCAGGTCAACAAAAGGAAACTCCAGCTGCTACACATCATCATAGTTATGAGACACAAGGGAATGCCCTGTGACACCTATCCCAGACCACACTGAGTAGATAATCCCCTTTCTTTTTGAAGCACTCTGGAAATTATCTAAAATGAGTTCCTGAGAATTAGAAATGATGTAATCAAAGTCAGACCCGAACATCATGAGTACAGTCACTCACTCTGTGTCACTTCCATATGACTAACTGTTTTCAGATGGCAGATACAGCCTTTCTCCCTTAAAAGCATTATTATCTGGTAGTATTATTCAGCCGCACACACAAATTCAGGTTTAGCAAACCAAAGCAGCTTTCCACAGGAAAATAAATAAATAAATCCCTCGCCATATCCCCTGGTATAACTAACTGTTCCATGCCCCTCGATTTCACTCTCTTCCTTTACATCAATTCTCCGACTTATTTCTATCTCCTGTTCTGTAGAAAGCAAAGTCTCTGGGAGGCCGCTTCCTGTTTGTAGAAGAATAAGGAGAGATTTCCTCCGAGCCGCTGATCGTTGGACACAGTGTTCTGCCTTTGCACAATCACAGGAACCCAGGGGGCAGCTGAGAGAGGGCCTTTTGCACTCTGAAATGTTTGCATATGAAGACACACGAGCGACCACAAGCGTAATGGACAAAACGAGGAATACAGGCTTGTACCAAATCCAACTACTAATGGACCAGTCAATCAGATTGGCATGTACATGCGGGGTTGAGAGAATAACCTGACGTGAGCACACACAAGAGCAAGAAGCTACTGTAAGAATGCACACACACACAAGCCTGTTTTTAACATTACATTTTCCAGTTCTAATTTATTGCTGTGCAGTGAAGAAAATATGACTATTACAGCTGTCCTGCTTCTACCGTCGGCCAGGTTCGGCTGAAATTTTTCTTGCGGATGTCGGTGTTTGAAGTGTTACCATCAACTAAACTTTGAAGGGATATCTACATGATAATTACTCTTTTTAGCTGTTTATCAAAAAACACTATTTCTCAGAATAATCAAGGCTTTGTGTACTGATGTGCAAGAAGCTGTTAGTTTGCCACTTGTTGGATGATATAGCTCTGAACACAAATTAATTTTGGGAAGTATTATTCCCACTGGAAAACTCAAGGCCATAAGATGCTTTCTTAAAAAAAAAGTTTAAAAAAGGATACCAGTTATGACAGGAACTTATCTTCTACAACAGTTTGTTTCTTTTGGATGCTGCCTGAGGATGCTGAGGCAGAAAGCTAAATTGTTTGATACCATACATCAGGGTACATGAAATTCCTACAGAAACAAAATAACCCTGCAAATCGGCATCATCTAGCCTTCATATCTGATCATTGAGCTGCTTTGGCTGCACCCCAAAAGTGGGAGGTTGGAGCCTTCTATTAAGTTTTTGTTTGGTTAGTCTATTTCTGCATGGGACACACTGTTCGGAAGAATGGGGTGAAATTAAGGCTCTCTGCATTCAATGAAAGCAGCTGGTCCAAAAAGGGGAATGAAGATGTGGTTGAAGAGAGTGCTGTTGTACCCACCCCCGAGGCATTTTCAACCATGGCATGACACGGGAGCTTCATCAAATCCTCATTAAAGAGGACAACAAAAATGCCAAAGTGTTTAAACAAAATTTCGAGGCCCATCTGAACATTTTAAAAGTGATGCGGAAACACAGCAAGATTTAAAAGGCTTTTCTTACCCTTTTCTTTTTTACTGATAACATTCAAAGTTCAATACAAGTGCTGACCGTAAGGAGGCAAAAACTTTTGGCATCTACATTTGTACACAGACAACTGAAAAAGACACAGTCATGGCTCCCCAAAATATCCTTTGACAATCCTCAGGCTCTAGCAAAGCCAGGGCGAGGCTATTGCTACTTTAAATATCCAGTTATACAGGGTCAGGGTATACAGGGTATGTCATCACAAAATTGGCATAATGGGTGGAGCTGACATCTCTACAAAAAGCAAAGTATGCTTTCAATGCTGGAATTAATACAATTTTCCAATTATTAACGTCAGCACTGAAGCTAACTTTGGATTGAAATGAAGGAGATCTCTGCAGTCCATTCAACTATTTGAGAGGCTTCAAGTTTCTCTTCTAAAGCAGGGCATCTCATGTTGCAAAAATATGTTCCGTGTGCTTAAGTATGAGGAAAGAGTGCTGCTTTAAAAGAAGTTTAAAACAACTCCTGGATTGTTTCAGAAATATAGGTGTGTCACACTGTGATCTCATGTGAACTCTTCAGCAGAACCAGGGCAAGTTAAGCCATGACTACACCGGGCAGCACAGGGTTCTCATCATGCATGCGTCACATAACACACAGCAAAAAATACTTGCAAAATTTACACTACAAACTTAAAAGCATCCTTTCTTCCATTCATTCATTCATTCAATAATATACGCCCCTAGTTAGTATAATAATTTGATATGTCTCTCTATAGTCCTTTAATTGGGTTCTTAGCTAATGAAAACCTCGTGGAAGTCTTCACTTCTCAACCAAGCCGCTACTTACACTTTTTCTCTTTCTTAGCTGATGTGATTGCCTTTCCTGTCCTTTTTTGTCAACTCAACAATTCAAAGCCATACCCCTCAAGCAAGAAAGGTGGTGTCTGTGTAGTTAGCTGCTGAACGTTTAAAAATATTCATTCGTAAGGGGCTGATATACACCCCCCCCCCAAAAAAAAATGTTTGATAACCGTGACGAGCTCTGAGCTCAGACTTCTGTACTTGCCTGCCAACTGTTTGATTGGCGAGCTGCTTCATCCGATTGAACTGCTTCTTCATGGTCGCTCCTTTTCCAATAAAGTCTTGCGAAGTAACGCTTCAGTCCCAGCCTTTGGTTTGTCATTAAGTCCACGGGGCCTCTCCCGACTCCCCAAGCTGTCACTATGACAAGGAAAAACAGGCAAAAACCATTGAGCCGAAAGCCAATTAAAAATAGTGTGTAGCTCTGCTAGCTGCCAAGCTAGCCTTTCCCTTAAGTAGAAATTCTACAAAAATGTTTCCACTTGGGACGACAGCATGATAACCCCCCCCCCCCCCCCCCCCCCCTTTTTTTTCTAGTTGGGCCTATCTACGTACATAAAAGCACTAAAGTAAGCCGTGACTAACTCCCACTAGCTCCAGCGGCTTTTCATGGCTGTCCACCACGGTAACTGTCTTGACCGTTAGCCCACGAGCTAACGCTGCCGGCTAGGATAATCCGTCCGCCGCTTCTTCCCAAAGCAGAGCAGGGAGCCGAGTGCACCGCAACAGCAGCAGCTCACCTCTGCCTCCGCCAGCGCGCACAGTTAGCAGCAGGAAGTACCGTTGGAGCCAGACAGCATCTGCCAACCAGGCAGCAACACCTCCCACTGGACTCAACCAGGATAAAGCCGCCTCACTAATAGAAAAAAAAGAAGTGTTTTTCTTTACCTGTGCGAAGACGTGCGGCATTTATTTAGCCCCACAGGCGTGGAATATTTACCCCTCTGAAGAAAACATTTTATGGGAAAGATTCCAGTGGTTACAAAAAAAACAGTCGTGCTTATATTTAATCTTAAATGACAAAATAACCAAAGAGGAAAAGAGAACTGAATTTATTTTTTTATTAATTTCCTCCAGTTGACTCCAAACGAGAAGACACAGAAAGGCAGGAATCCAATTAGTAACGCATCTATTCAATATTTGATTCAATATTTGATTAGAATTGGTTGATTTTGCAGTATTTGCATCTTAAATCTGGATACTCGAGCCTACACTCTGCAATCAATTTCTCTAAAAGATACCACTAAAGGGGCCGAAAAGCCTCTGTGATAAACCAAGCACAGGTACATTGAGGGAATTGATCGAAGATGAAGTCCTATAGTTAAGATGGTTAAGATGGTTGAACACAGCCTCGATTATTTGGATTTTTACATTAAGTGCAGATTTGAGACAAATGTATCAGACTATATATCTTCGCACATATTACTGCGAACGTCCATTCTTATAAATGCACTGTTGCCCTGTGATATAAATGTATTTGATGCATAGTTTACCAGAGATTTGGGCTGGCTCTCCATCAGTCATAAAGGCAATGTATGTAATCTGAATGACAAGTCCTTAATGAGGCTGTGAAGACATTGTAAAGGTTGGGTCCCACACATGGTTTGAATAGACATGAACTTGATTACTGTACTAGTACAACTTTTGTTGCATGTTTAATGGTTTCCATGTGTTTAAGACAAAAAGAGTAATTTGAAAAACAAAACGGAAGGGCTTTTGTTGTACTTCCGGTTTAAATTATACATGTTATTAGAGCATAGCGAAGTTTGTTGGTAGCACTTAAATGTTAAGTCCTGCGCACTATACTTCTCGTTTTATTTCCCGTCGTACTTTATTTGCGTTCACCAAAGCCTTTAGCGGCTCGGCTATGCACAGAGTTTTTTCAGTTTTGCATTCCGGATTTGGTATAAACCCACCTGTCATAGTAACTAGCTAGCCTGTTAGCTTGTGGCAGCTAAGCAGCGTGTATCACGTTCAAATTTAATGTTTTCTGCACAATCTCAAGACTAGGACAATAAATGGCAGCCCGGCGAGCCTTCACAGATACGGATACTGCGGACGAGGCGGTTAGGGCGACATGTGACGATGCGTCCGTCTGCAAAAGGTTAGAGCAGTAAATACATTTGGAGGAACAGTCGGGAACTTGCTTCTGTACATTAAAAAGCCACTTTAAAATGACTATTCAATTCACAACATTATGTTAAATTTAAGTTGTGAAGTGTCCAATCGCTATATAGTTTTAACAGGCTCATTGGTTGGTACTCAACTAGTTTTGATCTGTTGTTGGGTGGTTAGTGGAACATGTATGGATCCTGTACAGGAAAATATTAAACATCCCGGTGCTAACAGTATTCAACACTAGTTCTTACAGCAAACATTTTATAAGTCGGGGAGGATTTGATGCATATATGACACATGCTAATATGACACATATCTAATGCGTTATCTCTTTTTTTAGGTTTGCTACCAGTAAATCTTACTGGAAAGATCCATATATTCAGTACTTTGTGAGATCTGTGGGAGAACGCAAAGCCCCTGAAATCAACAGAGGCAAGTTAAGCCTACAACATTTGTAAACATGTACAGAACTCAATAATCGTATGAAGAATTAGGTGTGTTGAGACAAGGAAACATCTAAAACCCGTTGGAAATTGTGCTGCTCCATGCAAACGCTACCAAAAATATCTTAAAATCTGAAATGTTGTTAGGGAGCAAGTGGGTCTGTGAAATATAATATCAGAACAATTTCTCCTATTTCTCCATTGTGTTAGTCTCTTTCAGACTCAGTTTTTTTATACACATAAATTATAATGGATGCCCTATTGTCTATTAGCTAATCTTTAACTCCTTCTTTCTGATTTGTCAGGATACTATGCCCGGGTTCAGGGGGTGAAATATCTTCTGGATGCATTTATAAAGAAAACAGAATGTGATTGTCAAATAATCAACTTGGGTGCTGGACTGGACACGACATTTTGGAGACTTAAGGTTTGCAAACTTATGGCTTGCTCTGTCTTACAAACAAGATTCACATGAATACATTCTTTTTAAGTTGCCTCACATCAGATTTTTTTCAGTTTTCGACAAAGTAGAAAAAGAAATCACGGTCACAGGTCCTAAGTGTGTGTGTTTTTATATGTAATAGGATGAAAAACTCATGCCACGGAAATTCTTTGAGGTTGACTTTCCAACTGTTGTCGCCAGAAAAATACACTATATAAAGTAAGAAATCGATAACTGTTATTTTTGTTTGTTTTCGATTTTATGTTGTTATTTTTCCTTTAAACATGGTATTTTATCTTCCGATCCACCACCATGGGTCATAAAGGAAATTCAAGGGACAGCAAGGTTCCTGTATAGATATAATATATTTTGCAATATCCTCCTTTAGTAAATTATATATCTATAAATAAACCACACGTTTATAGTAAGATGTTATATTTTATTTATGACCACTGAAATTAAAGTAATCTCTTCTGGGTCATTTAATGAGAGGGAACATCAGGAGAGTGTCATGTTCTTCTGGCTTTGGAAATGTAATGTCAAAGAGCAGCCTGTAGGGGGAGCGAGAGCTCTGTATGAAAAACAGCTGGTGTATATTTGCGGCAGGTATGTTTTCAATCTTTATATGTATGGCTAGATGTTTACTATATATGCGTATAATGGATTATATTTTGATATCTTGTGCTATCTGCCAGGGCATAAACAATACACCCCAACGCATATATAATATATGCACAGTATAGGCAAACACAGAGAGCTGGTGTGCTTTGAAGATACTTGACTGTAACAAAGCTTAAATGTTACTAGAGTTTTTGTTTTTCCGTTTGACCAGGACAAAATCCCCCCTGTCCAAACCCATTATCGAGACACACTCAACGGACGCCTTACTGCTAGGTACTCACCAAATGTTAGTCCTTTTAACAAAATTTCACACGTAATCACACAATGTCATCTCAAGTTATGCTTTTGTCTCCTCAGATGGTCAAAGTCTTGACTCAGATCGTTACTGTATCATTGGAGCAGACCTCAGAGATATTAGTAACATGGATGAAAAACTGAAAAAGTTCCAGCTTGACCCAGAGTATGACTACATTGTTATTCAAATCCTTAAGAATATGATAGTTACTGTTAGGTGTCTATGGTTTAATCTTGTTGTTTTTTTTATGAAAAAAACAGCAGTTTGTGTTGCTGTTCATCAGTTTTTACACTGGTTTCTAAGCATATCTTTAAAAGTCCAAGAATTGCTGCTTATCAGTGTGTGTCTTTTTCTTTCCCACCATAAGCAGCTTTAGATAAGGCTCACTGTACAGAGAGTCTGAGTGACTCAGACCCAGATGGAAAGCCTGGCATCCATTGCCTGTTATGAGAGGTTACCACACCTGTTTTAGGTTTAAAAGTCCTGCATTCAACATCATACTTTCAATAAAGCATTGATAACCTTAAAAGTTTGAGGATGACATTTAAGCTGCAATTTTCTTACATTTCTTATGGCCATCATTGACATTGCGATGACTTTTAACAGCCGCATATGTGACTCTGAAGAAACACTAACGAGAACCTCTTTTTAGACTTGAGCTTCAGAGTGTTTGATTTTTTGCAGCTTAAATTTCCCCAATTTCAATTTAATGTATGATTAAAAGCATATTCTAACAGCGTATTCTTTTAAGATCTGCTTGCATATGTACATTTCTCACTCCAGGTTACCAACCTTGCTCCTATCAGAGTGTGTGATGGTCTACATGACTCCATTGCAGTCCTCCAACCTTGCTCACTGGGCAGCAGAAACCTTTCACACAGCAATGTTTATAAACTACGAGCAGGTACAAAACCGTTTGGTCGGAAGTGGTTCAAGTGCAGTTATCAAAATGACTGAAATGAAAAAAAGACTCTCCACACATGCAGGTGAACATGGGGGATCGATTTGGACAGGTCATGATCGAGAACCTGCAGCGCCGTCAGTGCACCCTGGCTGGAGTGGAGTCCTGCCAATCCCTTGACTCTCAGGTAACGTCCCGCTGATCTCACACAGACGACACTGAACCTATGGTAGCTTCTCAGATCTTTCTTCTGAGGTAATGAGGTAATCCCTACAATGATTGGTTTATTGTTTATGCAGAAGGAGCGGTTTCTGAGGACTGGCTGGGAACACGCTGATGCCCTTGATATGATAACAGTCTACAGTATGCTCCCTCAGGATGATGTGGCAAGGTAATGCATACTGTATATTAACCTGTCCGTACTGTGTGTTAGCTTACCAGGACGATTAAGCCTTTCAGGGAAAGAAAACAACAAAAATCTCCTAATTTACTTAGGCGAGGGCTTATCTTACTGAAAGAGTTTACCATGACTGAGTCGAATCCTGTATTATTACCCAATGGCAGCCAAAGGAGCAGCAGTCAGCAGTTTTTTTTTGTTGATTTTTGTTTCCTGGCCATGCTGAATAACACACAAGTCTGTGAGCAACATATACTGCACTGCGTTCCAGACACCTTTTCAAGTGAATAGTTTCCTTATCTCAGACACTAAAAAACAAAATCGAAAGAATGACTTTTGAGTCGAAGCAACATTTTCTTCCTTATGTTGTGCTTTACCTGTTTTGGATTTAATATAAGTTAAATTGCATTTTAACAGGTAATGCCTTTTTTCCGTTACTGCGGGCAACAAAAATGAAAAAGAAGAGCTTTTGAGTGTTGTGGGAAAATGGGAAAATTCAGATGAATCACCAGCAAGACCTGAGTCACATGACTGCAGCCACTGCTCTTTTTTTGCAGCTCAAGTTTGGCGTGGAACTAATCTGATGTGCAGTTTTCCTATATTGCAATTGTAGTGGCAAAACTGGTCACTTTTCCCTTTAGAGAAACACCTTACCTCTATTGAAACAAACACTCCCAGACCAGCAGATGTTTTCCAGCTATTTTTACCAGTTTGGACCTCATCTTCAATTCTTCAATATGATCTTGCAGCGATTTCCACGGTCGCATATTGAAATAAAAGCCTGAATTTCTTTTGTTTATTCCAGAATTGAGAGTTTAGAGTTCCTGGATGAGAGGGAACTGCTGCAGCAGCTTCTTCAGCACTACAGCATCTGCTGGGCCACCAAGGATAAACTCAACCTGGGTAACTAACATTATCAGGAAATGACTGCTATGTCAAGGTCAGCCCTGGATGCTCCTGTAGCTACAGTGGCGCCACAACGCCTACCCCTATATTTACTTAGCCATATTCATGTGCGTTAAATCTTTCATACGTCCACCCATCAGCACAGATTGAATGTCCACTGGTGTCGTGAGCACAAACAGGTCATGTTCTGTTTCCACAGGGCTGTCGCAGTTGACCTTTTGAACGTGAATACTCCCCCCATCAACGCCAAAATCAACAGAAGAAGAAGATACAGCAGAGGAGGAATGAGGGAAAGAGGAAGCCATCCTTTCTCCACCAAGCTCTCATCTGGGAGCCATTTCCAGACCGAAAAGTCCCACCATAAGCGGAACGGGATTTCACGCTCATCCTTTGAAACCCAGCATGAGTTGATGATAAAACATGATTAGGGCTGTGAGAAGGTCTGCCCCAACACTGGTTGTAAAGTGAAACTTTGCTCTATTAGTTTTGCCTGAAGAAAACCAACCGAAAATCTTATGTGTTGGCTTTTGAGCACAGTGCAAAAACAAGAGCATAGCAGATGTCATGTTTTTTGTGTTCTTCCGTTGTTTAATTTTGAATTAATTTATTTATCAGACACACGCATACGATTGCTGCGGTTGAATTTCTTGAAAGCACGTCTTATATTAGCCTGTAAACTGGAATTTTTTCTATGTCTGACAGTTTAAGATGTAATAGATTATAGTGGAGATTATTACAAATAAAAGTTCTTTTGTCGAAGACGGATGAAAAAAAAGCCATTTAGCTCAATTTATTTTCTGACATTCATTAATCTTCATTGTCAGGCTTGAAACAATGGATTTTCTTCACTAATCTAAGCTTCTGATTGGTATAAATCTTGGGAATACAAACAATTGAAGGAAGGAGGGGGGGGGGGGGCTCCTTGGAGAGGAAAAGAGTGGATGTGCGTATGCCTTTTGTGCATCATCCTAAAAGCAGTTTAAATACTGTTATTAACTGGGGTGTCCACCTGTTTAATAACTCATTTTAACGCAAGCCTGAGATACGCAGAGCTGGGATGTCGAAGGCAGACACTAAGATGGAAGCCCTCAGTGTGGCTGAGATGGGTGAGCTGGCAGAGAACCAAGACAGTGTCAACAAGAAGGAGAACAGATGTTTGTTTGAGCTATATATGCAGCCTTGCCTGGCTGAGCTGTTTGGGACCAGCCTCTTCGTATTTGTTGGGTGCTCATCTGTTGCTGGGAACTTGGAAAAAGAAACCGCTATCCAACCCGCTGTGGCCCATGGACTGGCCCTGGGAGTCTTGGTCACTGTATTCGGACAAATTAGGTAAACAATGATCTTCTTTTTCTTTTTTTTTCTGAATTATATTTTAAATCGGTCTTATATGAAGTACTTGCTTTTTCCATCTTATTTACCGTCTGATAATTATTTTGCTTTTATATTTTGCTTTTGACTGCATTTAATTCCCCCCACAAATTCAAGCAAAAACAACACACATGTATGGGTTCATTTGAAGTTATTTTTAAGATGTTTGTGTTCAGTGCAGTATAGATACCTCAGGGTAAAGAGCAGGCCATGTCAACAACAGCTTAAGGAATGTTTTTTTTTGTTACTCATTGCTCTGTTTATCCCATCCTATTGGTGCTGTTATCACTGCTTTACAACATCAGGAGTGTGACCCAGTATAAAGTCCATAATGTTTATTGCAGTGGAGGCCACTTTAACCCTGCTGTGTCTCTGAGTATTTACCTGTGTGGAGGGATGAAGCTGCTCCTGCTGCTGCCTTATGTTCTGGCACAGATGGTTGGAGGCATGATCGGCGCTGGTTTGACCAAAGTAAGACATAAGCATGGGTGCTATTTGGCAAACAAATGCAAATGTTTGTCATTCCCCTAACACTGACTTACCGGTTCTAGTTTTATTTGTCATTTTCACCAAGTAAACACAAAAAGTTGACTTTCAGAAGAAGGATACAAAGTAACATTATATTTTTTATTTTTCATTGATCTTTGTTACCTAAATGAAATCTGTTAGCATTATGTTTTAATTTAATTAACTATGTTGAATAGTCTCATACATTTAACCAAGTGTTTAGTTTATTCGTCTCCTAATTTTGGGAATGCCAATCTAAATACCAGATTGCAAAACATTAATTGTGGCAATTTTTTTACCCAAATCCTTTCTACCCCAAAATGGTGAGTAAAATTCTTCAGTTCAGGTTAACTTTATTAAGAACAAAGTGTTGAAACTGTTGATTTAACCTTTTCTACTTTTAGCTAATCTACCACTCTAATGAATATGCTGGTGCTCTTGGAGGAGCCTTTGGCACAATCCCCGGTGACCTTGGTAAAACAACCTTAGCAGAAATGATGATGACCTTTTTCCTCACTACTGTGGTGTGTCTGGGGGCTGTTAACAGCCGAACCCGAACGGCATGGGCTCCTTTCTGCATCGGCCTCACTGTTACGGCCAACATTCTTGCTGGGTGAGAGTTTCATCAGGGAACAAAAATAACAGAATACAATAGTTATCTGATAGCATTCTGAAAGTATTTTTAATGTATTTAGCTAGGTTTTTCCCTCTCATTTTCCCTCTCAATTCCACTAAGTAAAATTCTTCTACCAGTATTCTCCCATTTTACAGCCGTTCAATTTAGTTTTATTCCTGAAAAGTTGCTCTGACCACCAGCTGTGATATAGAGTTATGTGATGCTGGCTGTTGCAGAGGGGCCATTTCTGGAGCCTGTATGAACCCTGCCAGAGCTTTTGGTCCAGCAGTGGCTGCCAACCAATGGAATCACCACTGGGTGTACTGGGTTGGACCCATCTGTGGTGCGCTACTCACTGTCACCTTCATTAGGTAACACATTTATTTTGAGAAACAAACAACTTTTAAAAGATTTATTCTCTTATTTCAAGTGTGAAAAGATTATAAATTGAATGTACGGAATGATATGGTATCCATATCTTAACCATTTAAAAACTGTGCCTGCACTGGACCAGTGTTATTTTCCCTTAATAGAAGTCAAATTAGATGACACCTAAACTGAACAACATGTTCCTGAAAGGAAAAACATTGAATAAGGCAGAGCCAGAGAAGGATTTCTCGTTAGAATCATTTTGAAAAAACATAAATATTAGAAATTACATCTGTCAAAGTTTGATGACCCAAATAATGCTGAAAGTTCAGTGAGGTAGCTATCTTAAGCAGACAGACACTTGTAGAGATAAAGGGCTGGCTTTAGAGTATATAAAAGGGGTGAAAACTCCACCCACACTGAATGCAGTCTCTATTTTTGAGTTGTCCTTTATACACCAGGACATTTATTCAGCAATTAATTATGACATTTGGAGTAAAATAGACAATAAAAGTTGTATTTAACAATCCTGCAGAAGTTTAGATTTGACAGAGGGATACAACAAAATGTAAGGGAAAGAGATTGAACTAGCATGTCTCTTTTTGCTTCTCATTTATATGGATTTTAAAATGTGAATGTAACGGCAAGATAATTGGCATATACAAGACAGCAGGGTGGGATATGTTTAGGGTACAAGTTAAGAGTAAAACAAGTGTAAGCAAAATCTCATGATATATCACGTGACCTGTTTAGCAACAACTTGGCCAAAAATGTGAGATTACTGATGTCGCAGTGTTCTTTTTCAGAACTCATGGTAAACTGTAACATTTAGCTTACTGTCCATGAAATGTGTTTAGTTTCTTTCAAATTGATAAACTTTCATTTTAGAACAAAAATGTATTTTATGCCATTTTTTCCCCATAAGCATGAGCAACAAAAAAATAAGTTAACCAAAATAAGAGAGAAAATCTAAATGTTAGGAGGCCATCAATGCACATTTGACTTTTTGTCCTTTTGTCTTCAGTATCAGAAACTGCAATTTAGACGAAACCACACTAGGTGACGCCTCCCAGACAGATGCAAAATCCGAACATGGCTGTCTATGAGCAAACTAGCATTGTAAAAAAAAAATACAATCATGTTACAGGCATATTAGATTTTTGTTGGCTTGCTAGGTCAAAGGAATGCCAGAAAACTGTTCATATTTTAAACTTAAGTTTTGGAACAAGGTAAAGAATAGGGTTGCGTCTTACTAAATATACTGGCATGCAGCTGTGCGGGATAGTGAAATAGGTGTGTCGTCTTCTAATGTGGGCTGATTGTATGGTCTGTGAGACAACAGATAGACCCTATTAGCGCCACCCACTAAGCCAAAGATAGAATTTCTTCACAGCTGTAAAAAACAAAAGTCAGAGAGTACAGTTGAAAATAACCTCAGAATGGCTCCGTTAGGTAGTCATGATACTGACTCTTCAAACATCTGTGCTCAAAATAAAAAATAAAAAAACTTTTAAAAGACAAAGTGCAAAATTGGGGGGTTGCAATGAAGTAATATGCATGAAGTTTGGCACTATACAAAGGGCCAATATTTTAGTATTTGAATCTGTTTTGGTTCTCCTTCTGATTGCATTAAGCAGCTTTGTGTTTTTTATTTTTTCTATTTCGTTGCTTATTAAATGGTCAGTTGAGATGTTGTCCCTCTTTTTCAGGCTTTTGCTGGGTGACCAGAAGACTCGAGTGGTGCTCAAATGAAGAGTTATTCACAAGGACAAGAAAAAACATTCTGATGGATATGATAACTTTAACCATTTTAATGATCATATATCAGCCAGTAGCTATGCATTGTAGGTGACTAATGCCTGAACATTTACAGTTTACATTTTAGTAATCATTCCTTTTTTAGCTATGTTCAGTGTCCTGAATTGAAAAGAGAATCCTTGTAGTTGGCCAAAGGACAAGGCACTGCAGTTTTGTTAAAAAAATTATTGACTATGTTACTATGTTTACTGGCTGTCACCCACGGTAAGAAATATTGCTGATTAATGCTTAAATAACATGGCTGTCATTATCAGCTGTGTAATTCCATTCAAGGTTATACACTTTCCGACTCCAAATATGAATGATTATTGAACCACAAACACATTTATTGCAGGAAAACATACACTTTATTTTGATTGAGAGGTTAAGTGTATTTGTACTTTAATCGCCTAGTCCTTTCCCAGGCTCAGAATTAGAAAGGTAAAAACTTCAGATAACCAATTGCACAACATTTTAACACATTGACTATCAATTTGATGAAAACCAAGGCGAAATACAGAAGCTTTTAAAAACCAAGTACCCCTTCCTGCTTTCACAGATATGAGTAATAGAAGCTACTATTCACATTTGATAATATCAAATTTAATGATCTCAATGAAAACAGTCTTTGAGTTTTTGTATGTAATAAATCTTTAAAGGTCTGTACATGCCCCATTAATCCAAAATGAGCAGAAACCATCCCAAGTGCCAAACCATCTGCTTGGACTGTTCCGATGTTCACAGAAAATCCTTATTTCAAGGATTGTAAGAAGAAGCTGAAGTGGTGGTTTGTTTACAATGTACAGCACAATTTTGGAAAAAAGAAACCAACATTCAAGCACAGTGCTGGAAGGCTCATGATTTGCATTTGTTTAGCAGCTTTGTGCATATTAGGTCAAATATGCAATCCCTTTTATACCAAAAGTTTTTAAGCGACAATGTGGAGCAACTTATCTGACAACTAAAGCAAAGCTAAATTTGAGTTAATGATTTCAAACAAAAGCTTGATATGTCTTTGTGGGCCTTTAATAGAGCTAATGATAAACAAATGATTGCAATCATCTGTGACCTGAAGTAAAGAGATTTGTGCTTAGTTTCCAACAACTGCATCTGCATAGTGTCAAAGATTTCCTCTGTAAATAATGACAAACTTCTAATTGTTATGTTGGCCATCCAATGTGTTATTTACTCCATTTTGAGACCCAGTTTGTGTCAGATTAAATATCCTTTTTAAAGGAATGTGCATATTAGTCTGCTGGATTATAAAAAAAGATCCTAAAGTTATGAGAAGTGCCACATACTGACGGTATTTTCTGATGAGTACAGCCAATGCTTGCTGGACAGGGGCGCTTCAGAGGTCAATGCCCTCTGGCCCCTCCTTTGATTCGGCCATGCTGCCACTATAGGGGAGAGCATAATTTCAAAAGATAAGATGTTTACTTGCTTTTGTTTTGCTCTTATTTGGATATTTCAGTCATTTTCCAGAGAAAGTGACTTACACATATGTATTTATCAGATGCTTATGCAGAATGAATGAATATAGAAAAGTTAAACTTTTTTAGATTTCATTTCGAAAAAGTTTTTGGATTTAGAAAGTATTATCCATAATCTTTTTTTTTCGGGGGGTGTATGCAACTAAATGAAACCAGAAAGGGTAATTATTGTGAGCAAATAAGGTTTTAACCCCTGGAGTGGAAATCAGATTGTGTAGTAACTGGGGTCAAACTTAAACTCCTTAAGCCCTCTCTTAAACATTATCGTCCCTTTTTGCAAAAGGTAACGTTTATGTCCTTCCTTGAAAACTGGCCAAACAGAGTTGGACCATTGTCAAATACATTGAGATTAAGACACATTGGGTGGAGGTTGTCCAATATCCTTCACCTTGAGTGTTTTACAAGCAGTGATTTCAGTGTGCCAACAGTGACGATAAAAACCACAATACTTTGCAGTTCCCTTGACCCACTCAGCAGACTCATTCAGGTATACGTGGAGGAAGTGGAAGCATCCGAGGCTGAGTTGTTTTAATTTTTTTTACCTGAAGCAACTATGGTTACAGAGAAAATGGAAATGGAAGATTTGGATTCTACTCTCATGAAGAAAGGGAAAGAACCACCAGTGTACGAACCTCGTAACAAATATGAGAGGTTGTATCAACCCTGCTTGGCTGAAATGGTAGGGACCATGTTTTTTGTTTTCATTGGCTGCGTGTCTGTCATTGAAAATGTGCCAGCAAGTGGACGATTGCAGCCAGCCCTGGTGCATGGGCTGGCTGTGGCGGTGCTGGTGTCAGTCATGGATAAAATCAGGTAACTGTTTTTGATCGATGTTCTTTACCTGCATTTTAAGGAGAATCAAACATTTGCTCTCACCCTTGTCTTTGCTGTTTCTTCAAGTGGCTCCCATTTTAATCCTCCATTCACTATTGCAATCTACTTGTGTGGAGGCATAGAGCTGATGATGGTAGGGCCATACCTTGTCAGTCAGCTCATTGGAGGAGTGCTTGGAGCTGGAATGGCTAAGGTGAGTTGAATTTGGCAACCTGATGAACATGCCATAAGTATGTACTGTATGTTTGAGAAATTTTGTAGACAACAATCCTGTTGAAGATTAAAACTTTCAGCATCACCCTTGTTTTACAGCTGATCAGCCCTATTGAACGCTACAACAATGTCACAGGAGCAGCATTTGATATCCTCAAGTCAGAGAGACAGCTGTCCAGGGCCATATTTGGGGAGGTGGCCATGACCTGCCTGGTGACAATGGTACTGCTGCTGGCTGCGGTCAATGGCAAGACGAAAACCCCCATGGCTCCGTTTTTGATTGGATGTACTGTCCTCATCAACATCTTGGCTGGGTGAGATAAATCGCTTATGACCATAACACAGCAAGACGTGTCAGCTGTTTATTGTGTACGATATTATCTGTGTTAAACATTTACAAAGATGCATGAAGTAGGACATACACATATACACATGGCTGCCTGGTTTAGAATATACACATGGAACAATACTATATTTAAAAAAGTCATCTTAGAATAACTGAGGGGAATATGGGCATATAGGTCAGATACCATGTGTTTATTAGAAAGAAAGATCATGTAGTTATCAAGAAGATTCCAAGTAGTTAAAACGCATTATCTATAATACTAGATGCCTTTTTGCATTTTCCTTTCCACAAACTGTGATTCATGGCTTTTCTTGGAACAAGTTATGCAACATTTCAAAGGTTAAAGTCCTCATTAGCCTAATATGTATTATTAGAGACGTCAGGTGAGAAAGAAAAGCTGTCTTTCAACAAGTAAGCAGAAAAATAATTATATATTAATATTATTATATAAAATTATTATATAAATTTTCAAGTGTAAATGACCAAATTACCGTTAAAAAGGGGGCCTGCTGCTGCTGCTGTGACGCCACCAACCCTGACTTTAGATAAAGTATTTAAGGTACTGTATCATTTTCATAAGAAGAAGGGACAGATAGTCACTAAAGCTAAGATAACAAAAACACAATCAAGAGCAGCATGCAGCTCACGTATCTATTAATACTCTCAGTAAATGCTTTCAAAACTTAATGGAAGCATAGAGAGAAGTAGCAAAAATTTCCTCAAGTTCAAAATCTGACTAATTTCAAGAGCCAGTATTGTAATTTTTTCGATTTAACATCATAGCAGTTTACCTCCCAGTGAAAAACACGTGTCACATCACTCTTAATCAGGCAGTGTTTCTGATTATCACAACTCTGAGAGGGTCAGGCCTCTTAACAGTCAGAATACCAATTATTTCAACAAAATTTAAAGCTATTGAACAATGTTCTTAATGTGGTTTAAATGATTTCTTATTGCAACCGACAACCAAATTATTTGGGTTGTTTTGAATCTGTCTGCTTGTTTTAAAAAGTGCATAAAAGTTATGATTATTCTAATTATATCTAAATGATATATATACAAAAATGAATTATTGCACTTAAAGTTTTTTTCAATATAAACAGCTTCTGTTCTTTTTGTGGGTTTAGAGCTGACATCTCAGGGTCGTGTCTGAATCCTGCTCGGGCTTTCGGGCCGGCTTTAATGACTAACTACTGGGCCTACCACTGGGTGTACTGGGTCGGGCCCATCGGAGGAGGAGTGCTGGCTGCTGTTTTGGTCAGGTAAGACAGTCCAGCCCAGGCCCCGAATTGATTAGTTTAATAGTAGCGGTGCCAACATGCATTTTTCTGATACTCCTATTTCTTGTTTCAGGCTCACCCTTGGAGATAATAAGTTACGAGTAGTTATGAAATCATAACAGCGTTTATTGAGCGTTCACTGAGGTCACAGTGGTGTCGTAAATAAATGAAATTTGCAAACTTTTGGACCCTCTGTCTTGTGTTTTAGCTGTTGTATTTTTTAATGTCGGTTTGTTGAATAAATTGGTTGTTTTCAATGTGAAAAAACAGAAACAACAACTAACGATTCATACCATGATCCTATCTCTTCATCTTACCAAGACAAAAGTGATTTATATATTCCATATCAGAGTCTTTAAAAAAAAGGAAGTCTAATGCACAATATGTTTTGGGTGGCATGTGGTTTATTTTTGTAATTTATTTCTCCCAAAAATAAAATAATGAATGTATCGATCAATCAGACTGCCTTCCCCTCTGCGGACATCTTAGCGATATTTCTCAGACAGAGCCAGGGCCAGAGCTGCCAGGAATTTGTCGAAGGCGACGTGAGCCTCTGGGGTGAAGTCCTTGGGGAACATAGAGGCGATCACCAACTGAACGCAATGGCCGAGGAGCTGCGGACAGAGGAGACGCGTTTATAGCATCCAAACCTGATTTGCGCACAAAACAACCAAGCCGGTGACTCCAGCTTACCTTAAAGTTGGCCGGGTCGACCCTCAATTGGAAGGCATGCTTCTCACTGAGATCCAACAAGCCGTTGGTCAGGTCATCAATCTTTGACACAGCCAGAGCGACTCCCCCCATCACGTTTTTCCCGTGTTTCTTCACGGGGGCAGAGCCATAGCGAATATCTGGCCAGTGGGAAAAGTAGGTCTTAGTTTGGGGATAAACCTCGAGCATCCTGAAAAGACAGAAAGTACGTTCGAGAAAATTATTATTGTGAGGGCCAGGGCCAGGTACAAACCGTCATTTATACATGTATCTAAAATAGATTGGCGTTGGATTGATTTGGAGCTATCTGCAAATAGCTCTCTATTTGTTTTTTCCAAATCTACAGTTTGTTTTATAAGCTGGAAACGATTGACTATGATGATATTATGAATACATTTACTAATACTATCCGATCTTAAAAGCAGAAAAGACAGTCAGCTCTCCAAACTGATTGACATTAACTCGTCCAGACTGGAGTAGAGATTTGGGTGTCATGCTAGCCCTTGCATCCACATTTGATAAAGGTCTCTGTAGAGACATCTTTTTTTCTCTGGGCTATGCTGATTCCAAATAGGGGTAAACATGACACTTACCTGCCCAGAGCATCCGCTCCAATAGCATCTGCTGACTTGGAGATCTTGGCCCAGAGAGCCTTGACCGCAGACTTGTCTTTCTCTGTCAAACTCATGTCTGCTCCTGTCTCTTTCTCTATCTGAATCACATCCCAGGTTAGTCTGGAGTGCTTCTTAAATTCAGTTGGTTCAAAGGTTACACCCACGGAAACAGGTGCCAAGTTGCGTCTATTGACGCAGATAGGACCACTCAAACTCCCCTGATAGAAACTTCGGTGGCCTCGTGCCAGTGTAAGAGGCCGTATCAGCTGGCCACATCGAGGGCGTCACTTGGCAAAAATATGACCCATTTCGTGGGTGCACGAGACCACATTTTGGCTCTTTGGTGTGCCAAGTATGGTTGGGGAGGAATCTCTAAGTCCACCGAAAGGCAAAAGGTCACACCAGGTCACAGGAGTGATCAAAGCGTGTAAGCATGGAGCAAGTGGATGTAAAGGGTGCACAATAGCTGATTACAGAAAGATATTAAAATTATTCTAAGCGTATCTGTTGCGATTAAGCAAGATTAAGACTTACTTTCTTCACATTTAATCAAAGATGGGCTTTCATTGATGCAAAAACTATGCCCTGTAAGAGAAACTCCCTTTTTCAAGTGCATTAATGTGAATACATATTTAAGTTCACATAGAGGGAATTATGAAATGTTATAAGATTGGCAATGAGCGCAAGTTTAGAAGTGCAGTAATATGACTCCATCAAATCTTTTTTTGCATTAAAAAAATCCCCTCTTAAATCAAACTGAGATTTATCTGTGATTACATTTTTTTAATTTGCCAATTTTTTCTTGGCTGGCGTCATTAATTTATTTCCTATCAGGTTGAGAAAATAGCGCTGGCAGTCTTTATCTACGAGCCCTCAAGCATTTGCTTAATCAAAACGTCTATGGATTTGAGAACCGAATTGGAAGGAGAGTCTGGGTGGAGGGGCGCTGCTGCAGATAACGCCGGTGTGTATTTTGTAGATAACACTCGAGGCTTCACCAAACACGCTCAAGCTGCCGAGCAGAAATGCAAACTTGTGCACAAATGTTGATATTGTAATATAGGCTAAATAAAATTAAGGTGGCTGACTTTAGTTTGATTCTTTAGGAACACACACACACATACGTACAGTGTGTAAAATTCACACTAAAACCCTCATAAAGTAAGATTAAAAAGGCTAATTATTTATATATTTTTTTATTAACTTGGAAGTTGATCCCGAATTACACACAACGTTGTTTAAACTATTTTATTCTTTATTCAAGGTTTCTCACTGTCATGCATTGAGTGATAAAACGATTACATAAAATGCTCGAAAAATAAATATTTTTTAATTGATGTCTTGAGAAATAAACTTGTTTTAGGTCCTCGCTGATAACTGACAGGCAGTGCTTTAACATAGACACAGTTCCTTTCCATGTTTTCTAACTCAGCAAAAATACTTATTCAGCTTTTCTAGTTTTTTGTTTCTAAACGGCAAATTTCAAACGTCCCAAATATTCCATAAAGTGCATTTAAGGGAGATGAGGTTCTGGATTTATTTCAAAAAAGAAAAAAAAAAAATTCCACAACAATTCACCTAAAATAATCCCCTGGTATAAATCTACAAAGTACATTTGTCACTTTATTGAAATGTAAAACTAATGGAATTATATCAAAACATGCCGCGGTAGCAGAAACTTCTGGAGAACTTCACTGTTTATCTTTTGCACATCATCTCCAGCCTATCAAAGCCTCTCACCTTCAGGGCGTGGGGAACTTGAAGACATTTAAATAGACCGGGTTGACCGTGAACCGCCATTCAGCCTTTTTTGTTTCAAGACTGAACAAAAGAAAAAATAACCACGAGCCACCATGGTTGTCTGGACTGATGACGAGCGCAGCATCATCACAAGCATCTTCTCCAGCTTGGACTATGATGACGTTGGCCCCAAGGCTCTCTGCAGGTAACGTAGCACGGGGTGCGGGGGAACCCTTCATCCTTCCCCTTTCTGGTCATTAAACTTTCACTCTTCTTCCTTACCAGGTGTCTGATCGTGTACCCCTGGACTCAGAGGTATTTCGGCGGCTTCGGTAACCTCTACAACGCTGAAGCCATCAAGACCAACCCCAACATCGCAGCCCATGGCGTAAAGGTGCTGCACGGTCTGGACCGCGCAGTGAAGAACATGGACGACATCAAGGCCACTTATGCCGAGCTGAGCGTCCTTCACTCCGAGAAGCTGCACGTCGACCCCGACAACTTCAAGGTATATCCCGCTCCGCCCACACCCAAAAGCTTCTCTTTGTATTTAATGTATAAAATGTGAAAAGTGCATGTGCCATGCGAGTCCACAAGTTAAAAGAACATGTTTTCTTCTCTTCATGCAGCTGTTGGCTGACTGCCTGACCATCGTCATTGCCGCTAAAATGGGCGCTGCCTTCAACCCACAGACTCAGGCAACCTTTCAGAAGTTCCTGGCCGTGGTGGTGTCTGCTCTGGGAAGGCAGTACCACTAAACCCAGCACCCTCTGCAGCTGGAAAAGGAGCTGAAACATCCTTTCGCATGTGCTATGTGTTGTTTCTTCTCTAAAGAAATAAAGGTCCACTAAAGCAATGCCCTATTTGTTGTCCCTGTTTTTTTTTTGTTTTTTTTGTCTTTATACTTATTCTAATTGTACCCTGTTCCTATAGTTGCCATAATCAAGGTTGGTGATCGTGTGGGGAAAGGGTTAGAGTTAGGGTTTTTTAGGTCAAAACTTCCTTTTTTTATCTCCAACCACAGCTCCAAAAAGCAGATAAAGGCTTGAAAGCCTCTGATGCCTCAGTTGTAGGACAAAATAACAAGGGGAAACCAAAAAAACAGCTGTGCTTGATTGATGGCACCACCCACGAACACCCCACCCATTTCAGGTCAGCCACCATAGATAGAAGAGTCTTTTCCACAATAATCTTTGTGCTCAGATAAGTTGAAGTAGAACCATTGAAAATATACAGATACCCACCACCACAAGTGCTGCTTTTCAGTTATTAGTTTTTAGGTTTTATATCATCAGAATGGAGAACAAATCTACAAAAGTTTAATTAAAGTTGAATTATTCCTCAGATTATTTCAACTCCTCAACCAAACTATTTCAGCCACAAATGAGCATTGTCATGACTAATTGCAGCAACATGTAAGCTTTCAGTTTAGGGTTGTTACATAGCCTAACAAGCAGTTTCTTTCAGAAATTTGTCTCAGAAATTCAGGACCACAGACAGCTCCATACACTACAGCCTTTTTTTGGCAACAGGGATACAAATTAATTAATAAAAGAAAGACAGAACTGAAGAAAGAAAGAAAGAAAGAAAGAAAGAAAGAAAGAAAGAAAGAAAGAAAGAAAGAAAGAAAGAAAGAAAGAAAGAAAGAAAGAAAGAAA